TACTCACACCACTCTGTTTATACTCTATTCCAGTTTGTCTACTTGTACTAGATTCAAGGGAACAGACAGCTATCTCCAAAATAGCAGGATATAGTATGGTAATCACCCTTAATTTCCTATTAAGTTAATCTGAAGCCCTGTATAACTTATACTGTTTTACCATGACTGACCTTAGTTGAATCTGGTTTGTTAGATTGCTGTTTGGTATTGACAGATTTTATTCAAATCTGTTGATAGTATCAAGTGCGACAGTATAGGCAACTACACTGAACATGACAAGATTCACTAGGATACCCATATCTGGTTTGATTATTACCTGCTTTTGAAGTTTTACACTGTCTACAATGTTTTGTTTTTATCAATATTTTTATGTACTGCTATATTCAATTATACTATACCTGATGATATAGACAATTCTATTGAAGTTGAGACAACACAGTAACCATTGTAGATCACCTTGTACTGTGGTGCTTTTTTTTTTTTTTTGTCTTTTTCGTTTTTATCGGTACCAGGGATCGACTCACGACTGCACACTTGCAAGGAAGGCGCTTATGCCCCTGAGCTAAATCCCCAGCCCCTGTACTGTGGTTTTATATGACTTTTTCATTTCATGTTTTTATAGGAATATGTTTTGTCTTGATTTGTTTTGTTTCTCCTTCTAATACAGAAAGGACAGAAATACATATAGAAACTCATATAAGCATAGAATCTATAAAGTTTATGAGAACTGATCATATATTGCATAATGAAATGAACAACTACTTTGAAGAAAGACACACTAAGTCACCCACCAGTGTTGATTCTGTAGTGTCATGATGTGAAATCCAGCAATACTATTATTCTTCATTCAGAGTGATTTTAGCCTGTTTTGTTTTGTTTAATTTTAACATGCACGAAGGTATGGACAGCTATTTTGAAGAGAATGAGAGACACAATGACAGCCATTGTTGACTCCCTTGTTGTCTGGTCTTGAAGACCTAAAATGCCTTCCTCATCCTGTTCAGATCAGTTCTATATTATGTTGTTTCATGTGAATTCTTTGTATCTGAAGATATGGACAACTATTTAGAAGAAAACAAGACAATATGATAGTGAAGACCTCTGATTGTCTTGCTTTGAAATTCATGTCTCTTACATTGCTTTCTTATGTTCTGTTTTATTCTGTTCTGTTCTGTGCAGTTTTACCCTCTTCAAAATAAAAAAGTCATAAACATGTTTTTAAAAAGACAGAAAGGAAGTGGAAAGACACCTATATTCACAGATTAGAAGGTTTAATATTGTTAAGTATGAGGATTAGCCATAGGGATCTACCAATGCAGTCCATCTCATCAAAATTCCAATGATTTTTTTTTGCAGAAATTTGAAAAATCCTAAAATTCATTTGGAAACAATATTGAAAACTATCAAGGATGGAAGACAGATTTTCTAAACTTGAAACTCCGAACTTCTAGTCCCAGTTTTCTGAGAAATTTCTGCACTGATTTCCACAGTGGTTGCACCACCTTACACTTAAGGTTATGGTCTCAAGGTACATCCATTTGCCTAGAAATGTCTTGCACATATCCTTCATTATGACAAAATAGTACTCCTTTACATAAAAAAATACAGATATGCAGCTTCATGGAATGGACTATCAAGCACAAAAAAAGACCCTTAGCACACAAAAAAATTTTTTTCCAACAAGGTTCCAATACTGTTCAGTAGGGGAAAACAGTCTTTTCAACAAACCCTGTTGGAAAAATTAGGTATTCATATGCTGAAAAAAGAAATTAGATTCTTTTACTACATATAAAAGTTAATTCCTAAAGGACTCATAAGAGGTAAAATTATAAACTTCTTAGAAGAAAACACAGGGGTAAAACTTTGTAGCACAGGATTTGTCAATGATGTTATAGATAGAACTTGAAGACATATACAAAAGGAAAAAATGCATAAATTGGACTACATTAAAATTAAGAATTTTTGGGCTGGGGATTTAGCTCAGCGGCATAAGCACCTGCCTTGCAAGCAGGCAGTCGTGAGTTTAATCCCTGGTACCGATAAAAACAAAAAAGACAAAAAAAAATTAAGAATTTTCATGAATCAGAGGGTAGAAAGCAAAGTCTATAGAGTAGAAGAAAATATTTGCAAATCAGAATATGTAAAGATATACTAAGGCTTCCCACAATTCAACTACAAATACCATTTCACAAATGGGTAAAGGGGGGCTGGGGATTTAGCTCAAGGGCTGGGGATTTAGCTCAGTGGCATAAGCACCTGCCTTGCAAGCAGGCAGTCGTGAGTTCGATCCCTGGTACCGATAAAAACGAAAAAGACAAAAAAAAAAAAAAAAAACTATCACAAATGGGTAAAGGACTTAAATAAATATTTCTTCTTTGAAGTTATAAAAATAGCCAATAAACACATGAAAAGATATTCAAGATCATTCATTAGCCATTAGAAAAATGCAATTCAAAACCAATTTATGCTAAGTAAAATAATATTATAGGCCAAAAAACCCACCATAAACAGGAAATAACGAATGTTGATGAGGGTATGGAGAAAGTGGAGCTGGTGGGAATATAAAGTTTTTCCACAAGCTGTGGGGTTACAAATAGGACTGTCAAGCCGGGTGTGGTGTTGAACACCTATAACTTCAGCGCTTGGGAGGCTGAGGCAGAAGGACTGCCATAAGTCTGAGGCCAGCCTAGTTCCATAGTGGGTTCAAGGTCAGCCTGAGCTGCATAGTGAGACCCTACATCCAAAAAAAAAAAGTCATATGCTCTAGCAATATATGCTTTCTGAATATATGCCTTAAAGAATTGAAAGCAGGGACTAAGATACTTGTATGCAAATGTTTACCACAGTATTATTCACAAAAGCCAAAAGTTGAAAGCCCAAGTGTGTGCCAACACACAACTGGCATATTTTAAGAATATACTGTATATGCAGTGCAATAGTATTCAGTCAAAAAAAAAAAAAAAAAAGGAAACATGGTGTAATATGGATGAGCCTTGAAAGCATTATGCTAAGTCAGACAGGCCAGACACCAAAGAATAAATATGATTCCAACTAAATAATTAAATGAATTACCTAGGGTAGGTAAATTTATAGAGACAGAGTTGAATAGACGTTGCCAGAGGCTGGAGAAGCAGGAAGAAGGTATGAGTAGTAATTGTTTAAGAGGTACAGAGTTTGGTTTGGCATGAGGAACAGGTTCTACAACTGGATATTGGCAATGGTTGCCTAATGTTATGAATATAGTTAATATCACTAAATCATACACTTAAAATAGTTAAAATGCTATATTTTATGTTACTGTGTATTTCACTAGAAAGTGTTCTGCATATACTGGAAATAAAATGAGATTCATAACACAGAAGCTTAATGTGTGCTTACAAAACAACTACTCATACGGCAACAGTACACATACAAATTATTAGCATAATGAGACAATAACTCAAATTCTAAAAATGACCAACAACGTAATGTAATTTCAATCAAGATCCTAGTATATTCTTGTGGAATAAGTTGACCTTTAATTTTATCTAGAAATGCCAAAATCAAAATAGCTAAGATATAAAACAGGACAAAAGTATTTATCTATTAGATATGTCTTGTAAGATTAGTATCATTAAGTTAGCAGGGTAACTAAGGCATTGTACTAAGACAACACAAGAAATAACAATTAGACTAATGGAATATAATAGAGTCTAGAAACCAATCTATATGTGCACAGTTGATTTACAACAAAACAGCACTGAAGAACACTAGAGAAATTATATTTCTTTTTTTCAATAACTAATGGTGGTAAAACTGAATGGCTATTTAGAAAAATGAAACTTAGTCATTGTCTGACATAATATAGAACTTAGATTCCAGGTCTATGTGGCACATAGCAAAGCTTGGGAGGCAATTTTGGGGAGTTATCTTTTATCTCCTATTTAAGAGGACAGGGGACAAAAAAATAGAAAGAATGGTAAATTTAACCATATTGACTACTGCCTCCCTATATTTACCAACCTTAAAGTATTTACATTTCTTAGTCTATTAATACCTTGCTTTGTAATACCTATCTTAAACCCATCCTAACATCTCCTTTTTGAGTTATTGTCAGGACTCTACCAAGTTGATGTTCTTCCTTGGCCTAGTAAGTGAAGCTCAGGTTTGAACAGCAGGTTTCCTTAGTGATCTTTGTGGAGGAGTTGACAGTCGCTAATCCCTCATTTTTTTGAGATATATACCAAAATCATTATAGATGAAATTGGAATTCTGAAGGCAACTCCAAAATAAATTTAATAAAAGAGAAAGGAGATAGAGGTAGATAAAATTAGTCATTAAATTATTGATGCTGAGGGGCTGGGGATTTTAGCTCAGCGGCCTAAGCACCTGCCTTGCAAGTACGCAGTCGTGAGTTAGTCCCGGTACCAATAAAAAAAAAACAAAACAAACAAACAAAAAAACCCACAAATTATTGATGCTGGGTAACAGTACATGGGAAGTCACTAAACTATTCTATTGTCGTTATTTTAAATTCTCTGTTATAATAAAAAATTATTTTTCTTTTTATAGTCCACAACAAAGGGTGTTCATTACAGTCAAACTATACTCTTATGTCTGAAACTATCAGGCTTGAGTTTAGAAAGCATGTAGCAAAACAAAACTTAAAATTGTGCTGGATTTTGCAGTTCTGCTACTGATGGAACGTAGAGAAAAACAAAGTGGTTACGGTTTTTAAAATTTTTGTTTTTGTTGAGACAGGCTTCATTACATAGTTCAGGCTAGCACTGAATTCACTCTGCAGGTCAAGTTGGCCTTAAATTCACAGTGGTCCTCCTGCCTCAGGCTCCCAAGTGCTGGAACTACAGGCACGTGCCACCATGCCTGGATTCAGAGTAGTTATAGGTTTGACAGAAAGAATTATTGTTAATACTTTCTACAACAACTCTCATGTTAAACTAAGATATATTTAACTCAAGTTTGGTATTTAAATCTTGGTTAAAACAAACGAACAAAAGGAATATTTTTTATCCCTTGTGATTTATTTAGAGGGTGAAAGTGTGTTACAGTGAGTCAGTTTTTTAGTTGTGCTTAGAATGTGTTCTTTCTTACATTTTACTTTGGAAAGTGAAGCTTCTTATTCTTTCTTAGAATCCTGGATCTTATGATTGATCAGTATTAGCAACCCATGCACAGCTCAAGTGATGCCTAATTTGAGGCTTTGAATAGTTACTCATATAAACTGACTTTTCTGTGCATTTGTTTGGAGGAGAGTCCAGTTCAGGTTGATGTCCGGGGAACCAATGAGGCTCTCGCTTAAATCCTAAGGGAAGGAAAGATAAACAGAAACAGTCAAGAACAAGAGTGTTAGTAACTGACCTCTGTCTCACTTAGAGCATAGTGAGGCCCACCAAAACTGGGAAAATAGAGCTGGGGATATAGCTCAATGGCAAAGTGCCTGTCTTACAAGCACAAGGTCCTGAGCTTGATTCCCCGTACCAAAAATAAATAAAATAAAATAAGTCGAGAAAAATTGTTCACTTATTCACTCATTCAGTTTACTTGTTTGAGACAGGGCCTTGCTACATATTCCAAGCTGGCTTTTAATTCACTACATAGCCCAGGCTGACCTTGAACTTACGGCAATTCCTCCAGCCTCAATCCCCTGAGTGTTGAGATTACAGGTATGCACCATTATGCCTGGATCATTCGGTTTACTTTTATTTGAATTTCTTCTATGTGCTAAACACTGAGCTAGATTCTGAGAATGCAACAATTAAAAAAAACTAGAGCCGGGCGTGGTCACTCATGCCTATAATCCCAGGACTTGCGAGGCTGAGGCAGGAGGATCATTGAGGCAGGAGGATCATCGAGACCAGCCTGGGCTACAGAGTAAGCTCAAGGCCAGCCTGAACTGCATAGTGAGACCCTGCCTCAAAAAGACAAAAATTTTAAAAAAATTCCTTCTCCACTCCCACTGCTTCACTTGACTAGCCTAAAAAATAAAAATAAAAAAACAACAACAAAAAAACACTAGTCCACCTACTATGGGTTGAAAGTAGCAATTTGGTGTTGTAGCTTGTATCATATGTTGTTTCAAAGTAGTGTTGAAACTGGAAAGAAAAATTACTAGATTAAGAATCTAGAGTCTACATTTAATATTTAATATTAAGAATCTAGAGTTTACAATTAATGTCAGGAAATAAAGGATACTAGTTCATGAAATTTAATGGACTGTCTCATTTCAGATAGATTAGTTGTCTACATGTTGGTCAGTCAATATATTACTTTCATATATATATATATATATATTTTTTTTTTTTTTTTTTTTTTTTTTTTTGCGGTACTGGGGATGGAACTCATGACCTCATGCTTGCCAGGCAGGCACTTATGCCACTGAGCTAAATCCCCAGTCCATTACTTTCATGTTCTTTGTACATTTGTTGGCTTAGGAGAGTTTTAAGAGCAAGACTCAGATGCACGACAAGTCCAGGTAGGCAAAGGTCAAAAGAAAAGCAAATCAAGTCAGAAGACATTATATCTTCCTGTAGATTAACAAATAAAGTCCAAACAGAAGCAAGACAGAGAGTATTTACCCATCCTTTTGATTCCTTACATTTAATGTTCAATTTGATACTAAAGTGGGACACATGGTCCAGTTGAAGACTGCCCCCTCCCCCAATCACGTTACTGATGGAAGACTGAGAAGAGCTTAGATTCCTGCACTGGTGTTTCTTCTAGCAGGCAGAAACAAAAGAAGGACACGTTAGATTACCTGAGAAGGCAAGGGTTTGGGCTGCACAATATTCCTTAGGTCATATCTTTCCTGGTTCCAGTTTCCTACCAGAGTTCGGTTAGAATAGGAATTCTCACTAGTGGTACATCTCCATCCATATTGGAAAAATTTGGATGTATCATTCCAATCTATCCACACTTCACCATGGCCATCTGCATTAATGAGGCTTCCATAGTGTGGGTTTGTGAGGAAACGAACAAGGCTCTGTTTCTGGAAAAAGACAAGAACAGAAAAGCTTATTGCACAAACTAAGAGCAGAAAAAGTTCCACCTTCCTACACTCTTTATATGGCAAGGTATAACAGAAGTACACCTTATGCTTTCTGCTTTCCTCCAATATTCTGTTTCTGCCGGTCTAGGTACATGGACCTACTGACTTATCCTCTCAACTTGCAGTAGCGAATGACTACATAAAAACTCTCCCTAACACTGAAAAATACAGAAAAACCTTTAGCACCTCATATGGAAAACTAGCTAAATGTTCAGGTAATTTTGAGGGGTAGGAATTGAGGGACTAAGGATATTATTACAGAGAAAGACAATGAGAAATGAATTGACTAAGTAGACAATACTATAAAAGAACAATAAATGATAATTTCTTTCCTTTTAGTCTCAACTCAAAAAATACCTCCCCTAAAGTTAACCATTCTCTTCTATCTTGTTCAGAACTTTATCTTCATATTTCACCATATTTTTATCTTTCTACTGTACATTAGAATTCATCGTGTCATATCTGTTCAACTGAACTGTATATTCCTTGAGGATGATGTTTTATTATTGCATCTTCTGTCTTTCCAATCAGTAGTGCTTTGCATATACCAGATGATCAATATCTGAATTTCACTTTTGAAGAATAAAAAACCTAAGGGGTTTTTTTGTGGGGAGTGGTTTCCAAAACAAGGCTAATCTTTTGGCTTAGAAACAAGGTGATACCTCCCCTGAAGAACTGTAATTTGATGAGTAGTTTGACTTGTCCGAAGTGTTCATAAGAAATTTAAACAAATCCAGATATGCTTTTTCCATGTTTACTTAAGCTGTCACTAAATATGTTCTTCCCAGGTATCCAAGCAAAGAAAAGTATGTAGATCACTCAGGCCGAAAAGGTCAAGTGGCCATGATCTGGGAGCCACAACCCACCTGCCTTTTTATAGGCAAAGCCAAAAATGTAGCACTAAAGGATGGCATCTCAAATCACTGCCCTCACACCATATGCCTTTGTGAAGACAGAGACATTCACTGATGTCACCAAAAAGCATGATGACTAGAGAAGCTGGTCACACAAAGTCCAGTAGGTTTATTGCTCACACTGGAGACCCAGGAGATACTGTCCTTATGGTTAGAATGACAGATAGCACCATCCATTGAGCTGTCCAAATTAGAACGCTGAGGCTTATCTCTCACTCTGAAGTTTGTTTCAGCATTCATCCAATCACTTTAAGTCTTGTTTTTTTTTTTTTTTTTTTTGTCTTTTTCCTTTTTATCGGTACCGGGAATTGAACTCACGACTGCCTGCTTGCAAGGCAGGCGCTTATGCCGCTGAGCTAAATCCCCAGCCCCAAGTCTTGGTATTTTTTAATACTACTCTGCTTCTTCAATGCTGAGTTCCAACTCAGATCACTGTAAATTTTGTCTCTAGTACTATAGTTGCTTCCTATTTTTCTTATTATTAACCTTGTTCCTCTCCGATCCTTTCTGTGTGCAAGGAGAATTTTAAAAAATGAAGTCCGGTTGTATCATCTTATTTAAAATCTGTTCAGTGGCTTTCTGCTTTCCGAATATGATTTAGAGCTGTTTAGATTGTATAAAATAGCTCACTATTTCCATATGACCCAGCCTGTACTTAATCGTCTACTCTCCTCCCCAATGTGTTGTGTCAAACTCAACCACTCTGTTTTTGCTTGGTACTGGGGATGGAACCCAGGACCCTTGCATAGCCCAACCCATTTTTAATTTTTTTATTTTGAGACAGGATCTTGCTAAATTGCCCAAGCTGGGCTTGAATATACAATCCTCCCGCCTCAACCTCCTAGAATGCTGAGATTACAGACTTGGGAACTACTCTTTTTTCATTACACTCTTGGATATATTCTTTCCGGCTCTTCTTTCCTTTTGAACTTGGTAAGGGTTCGTTTCCTCCTCCCTCCTTTAGCTTTCAACGCTGCTTCCCTTCAGGAAATCTTTACACTTTGTTCCCAAACCTCAGGAGGGTTTTCCCTCTACAGCACCGTCTTACTCCACTTATAGTATCTGTCCCTTGCTGTGCATCCTCCACCAGGCTGTAGACAGGCTACATCTTGTGCATCCACATATCCAACCATCCTCACAGTGGCACAGCAGTAAGCATTCGATATTTCTCGAATGAGTAAGAAGGTAAAAGAAGCACCTGAAAAAACTCTGAGCAGCAGAGACACTGCGAGGCAGTCATTTCAGGCTAGATGAGAGCAGTTTTTAAAATCCTCAGCGTCAGGAATATTCAGGTCACACCCGATCTCTTGTTGTCTTCAGCTCTACTCCTCTCCTTCGGCCCGGGCCTCGCCTCATATGCCTCTACGCTGGTTACTGCTTGTGACCTCATGTTGGTGTGACGACGTCACTCTGAGCAGTCCTCGGACTACACGCCGTTTTGATCTTTCCGGGGGCGAGAAGGTGAGGGGGCAGGGGTGCTGGGTATCTCGCTTTCGCATTCATCGGAGAAGATGACTGGGAATCGCCGCACAGGTTTGTAAAGAAAATTCACGGCATGCAGTCGCGTCACCAACCCTTGACCGGCGAAAAGGAGGCGCTCGGAGACTTTGAAGGAAGTGACGTAAAAAATCAGCGCCAAGGAGAAAGTGAGCAAGGTGTCAAAGAAGGCCATGGTCCCTCGACGCCTCCTGTTGGTCGGCGAGGGGAATTTCTCCTTCGCTGCCGCTCTGAGCGAGACGATGGAGCCAAACTCTACTCTAACGGCCACCTGTCTCCAGCACCCAGCGGATTTGGCTGGGAATCCACTGGCCCGGGAGAATCTGCGGCGCCTGCGCGAACGAGGTAGCAGGCTCCGCCCCCTTCGCGAAGCCCCGCCCAACTGCGGGAGTGTCCAATAAGGAGGGGGTGAGGCGTGGGGAATGTGATGTAGGGATTGCTGAGGATTCTCTCAGAGATAGTTGTAGTAAGTCTGCTGTACGATTCTAACTGGGAGAGTTTTTTAGTTTCAGGTCTTACATCTTTTTAGCTGCGTATCACCCCTCTAAACTGTCTTTGGCAGGTACTGAGGTACGTTTCGGTGTGGACTGCACCCAACTGGCAAATGCCTTTGAACCACACAACAGGAAATTTGATCGAATTTATTTTAATTTTCCTCACTGTGGACGCAAAGCTGGAGTAGCTAAGAACAGGGAACTGCTTGCCAAGTTTTTCCAGAGGTGAGGAAAAGAGAGCCTGAAGAAAGTTAGTTACTATTACATGTTTGGAGAGAATACCGAGCCCCAAAGGAACCCACAATCTAGTTGGAAAGGTTGATTTATAACCATGGTATTAAATAAAATTACAAAATGTGCTCTTGAGACTATAAAGAAGAGTTATTTATTTTTAATAATGCAGAATAATGAGAGCCAGTATAGTCCGATGGTTAAAAGGATGAATTTAGATGCCAAACTGGCTGGATTCAAATCCTGGTCCATTACTTAATAGGTTTTAAGCAAACTTACTTAATCCTCATGTTCTCGGTTTTTTAAAATCTATAAACTGGAAATCTATAAACAGTAAGTGCATCATACCATTATTTTGAATTTAAAATGGTGCTTTACACTCCACCAAATATGTGATACTTTTGGAAGTCTCCATTAGGTTATAGTTGTCAAGTAACTTTTCACAAAAACAGTGCTTTAAAGTATCATTTAAACTAGAATTTTGATAGCCAGAGGCAATGAAAAAACTTTCTAAGTGGGGAGGAACATTCTTTATAATGAATGTGATCATTATATATATCAAAAGTGTGCCAATAAAGTTAATTTTTTAAAACATGGGGAGGTCGAGCATGGTGGCACATGCCTGCAATCCCAACACTTTGGGAGGCTGAGGCAGGAGGATTGCCATGAGTTTGAGGCTAACCTGGGCTACAGAGTGGGTTCAAGACCAGCCTGAATTACAAAGTGACACCTTGTCTCAAAGAACTGAGGCAGGAGGATTGCCATGAGTTTGAGGCTAACCTGGGCTACAGAGCGGGTTCAAGACCAGCCTGAATTATGAAACACCTTGTCTCAAAGAAAATCCCCTAAAATAAATAACTTAATTAAAAATGGGGAGAAATAGCCCAAGCAGGCAATTATGAATAGGAAGTTTGCTGATTAATATTTCTATGACATAGAGATGAACAGCATTAGAGCAGATACCAAGAATTGTTATGGGGCACATGATTATACTGTATATTTGCATTTTTTGTGTATTTGAAGTTTAATGTTTGCAACTATGATTGGTTTTTAATTATTTCATAGCTAACTCACATGTATATTGGTACCTTCTAGGGTAATTTCTACTTGTTTCTGATACCTTTCTTTTTTTTTTTATTTTTTATTTTTTACCCTATTAGCTGTGCAGATATTCTTGCAGAGGACGGAGAAGTTCATGTGGCACTGTGTAGAGGACAAGGCGGTACTCCCGCTGATAAGCCCCAGAGAGAATGGCACAACAGTTGGCAAGTAGTTGCCATGGCAGCTCTGGGGGGCCTTATTTTAAGTGATGTGCTTCCCTTCAGCTGTGACGCTGTGCCGGGATACAAGTGCACTGGATATAGGTAAGAAATAACATAGGCCTAAGCCTTCTCCTTTTTCATCTATCTCACTTATGAGAAACACGCAGGATTTTTTTCCTGACGATTTCCTAATTAAGTTTCTAGAAGCACTTGCTTTCATTAGTAATGACAGACTGAAGACTATACTCTTGTCTTTTTGGCCAGGAGTCAAGATAAGCCCTTTCATGTAGAAGGTGCTTTGAACCATGTCTTCACCCGGAGCTTACCCTTTGAAGATTCTAAACCCAGAATCTTCAGAATCAAGCTGGGAGACAAGTGTTTTTCTTTTCTAGAACCAGAAGCACTTGCAGGAAAGTTGAACAGGTAATCTTAATGTGCTGGAAATTACTTACACCTGAATGTCTTACAGCCTGAATGTCTTGATGGGCACCTATATTTTGAACAGCTGATACATAAATTGTTAATGATGTTGGTACTGTGAATCCTGGTCAGTCCTATATAGTGGAAGGTTGGTGGCTGCTATAGTTCTGGAAAATTGTTGACTCACTTTTGCTGGGGGTATAGTTCATTATTAGAGTGCTTACCTAGCATGCTATGAAAAAAAAGAGAGAAAAGCAAAATAAAAGTATCTGATATCTCTCTTTATGATAATTTTTGTTCCCTATCATGATCAACTTAAATATAATTATTTGCTACATAAATGGTTATGTTTTAATTCTTGCTATATTATAATTTAAGTGAGAAAAATTATTTTTTGTGTGTTTACACAGGGGTTTTCTGGAAGCATCTTCATGTCACCCTATCAAAACCATAAATGAGAAACTCATTGCTGGATTGGGCTCAGCTTTCCCTCTGAAAATGCTGAAGTGTTCTTGTCCCCTGCTGCAACAGGAAAGCACCAGTGTTTTCCCTTCCTGGAACAGTGACATTCTGTCTGCCTTTTGGGTTAATCTCTATGAACATAACTTAAATTGCAAGTCTTTAGTTGATGAAACACAAGAAATCACTGAGTCTCTGGTGTCATTTTCAGATCGTATCTTTGCCAGGAGTCCTAGAGGAAATGGTAATAAAGAAGCTCCTGAAGGAATCTGTGAACCAGTCAAGGTCTGTCTTAGATCTTCTCTTCTAGTCCACGTGCAGGCTGTCATCCAAGCACCAGATTTCCTCCCAGGATCTCTGAACATCCTCAGTGGACCCGTTTTTCGGAAGTGCCACATTTCACCATTCACAATGCCAGCATTTCATGAGACTTTAGTTATCTTTGGGGTCAATCAAAATCTTAAGCATCACTGTCTTTTATCATTGCTGGATCACCTAAAAGCCACGTTAGAGAGTCTTCTGACCCAGACACTGTTGGAGGATGCTAAGCTGAGCAGTTCAGTGGAGTTTGCTCTTCAACCAAATGGAATAGATTATATGATTCATGTGAAGTCTCCTAAATTTGGCTTAGATTGCGCCAAAGATCTGATTATTGGGTCTGTCATCACATCTGCTATAAGCATTACACATAAGGACCAATGTTTTGTGATTATATCTATAAACTTGGATTTATTAACTATGCTCATCTGGAATATCTCTGACTGGAGAATATTATGGACCTTTGATAACCGTTTCCTGAAAAATTTTGTCCCTGAGAAAATAGCACCCTTTAAAAGCTATTCCCTGTATCCTCCATGCTACGTGCATGATATTAGTTTTTGGTTAAATGAGAAGAAAGGGTTCGATGAATTAGAGTTTCACACTGTGGCCCGAGCAGTGTCCCAGGACACTATTACATCCATACAGTTACTTGGTCGTTTTCAACACCCAAAGACTGGACAGATCAGCTTATGCTATAGATTGACCTATCAGACATGTGATAAGGCCCTTACCCAGCAACAGGTAGCATTAAGGCAGCTCCAGTTTAGAAAAGAGATTCAACAACAACTACATGTTACACCTCGATAGATTAGTAAATTCATTTCTACAGTATGATCCTTCATTGGGTACAGATGAAAAAGAAAAGCTTGTGATTGGCTGAGTATTCTCTCTGTACTGTGTTTTGTTTTGTTTATAAAATCTTTTTCTCTGTGACTATAGCATTGTTGGCTTACCCTAACGATACTTGTAACTGTATGACTCAAATTTAGAGTGTAATATGATTGGAGATCTTTGGAGTTGTACAGTATTTTGGTTTTTGAGTAATAGACTCCTCCAAAACAAAACAAAAACACCCTAGCCTCCTATATGTTAGGTGCTTTGTTGCTAAGAGGCAATAGAACTTAGTTTTCAATCTTTAATTAAATATTTTTTAGTCTACAGAAGAATTGTTTGACAAACAGTATACTTAGCTACAATCAGAATGTTAATATTGTTGGAATCCTTTATTTGCTCACATCGAAATCTTTGATCTGCCTGCATACATAATGATCTGGGACTGCTGCATGGCCAAGTAGCAGACTCTTTTTCTCCCTCTTTCTTTTTTTTTCTTTGTACCAGGGATTGAACTCACAACCTCATGCTTGCCACTGAGCTAAACCCCCACCCCGGCAATAGAACTTAGATGTCTAATCAATTGTGTTTATAAATGTATTTCCTAAATTGTGAGTCCCAGTTCCCTTAACTCTGTTATCATACCAGATTAATTTATAAGGTTGGCTTTTGGGATTAGGCCAACATGTATTAGCTTGATAAATTGCAGGCATATTTGGTGTTATTACTGTATATCATGATATCATCATACTTTTTCTGTAATGGGCTTGGAAAAATCATGGAACCAATAAGTGTCAGATTTAGGATTAATATTTGGGCCTGACCCTAAAGCAGTGGTGGTGAGCCTATGGCACATGTGCCACAGCGGGCTGTTTGTATCACTGAAAGCTCTGAAATGTTCACTATCACTGCTCTAAAGCCATTTTCTTCCTGCTACTTTCTGTTATTTTTCTTTGATCAGCATGAAATGGATATATAAGATATATCCAAAACAGGATGTTTAACTTGATAACCTGATAACCGTGACTGCATATGGGAACTAGCAATTGGATTAATCTCTGTTTTAATACTTGGGAAGTTTTAGTTGAAACCATAATCTTCTGGGGCTCTGCTGATTTCAGCTCTTCACCTATAAACTTGTCTTAGTTCGTGGTACTGAGCTCCACAGCATGGGACAGAGCTCTGAGACTGAGGCAGTGACAATGTCAGGGTTAAAATGAATGATCATAAAGATCAGTTATATTGTCAGCAATGTGCCTTTGTAAGACTGCCTCTATGAAATCAAGGGTTTTCTCTTGATCTGGTGCAAAGATAAGTCAGTCCTCAGTTGGAATATGACACCAGCCTTTATTAACTATGCAATTTTGGGCTTGGTTCTCTTACAGGTGAAACAAGGAGCTTGTGAGAATTACATTTTTAATTTAAAAAAATTGGGGGGCAGGGTCTCATTAAGTCACTAAGTTGCTCAGGAGAGACTTGAACTTTTGATCCTTCTTCCTCAGTCTTCCAGAATCCTAGGAATGCATACAGGTATGCACCACAATACCTGCCTACGAATTAAAGTCTTAAAAAAGAATAAATGTAAAAATGCCTACCACGATGCTGCAGAAGCAACGACAGTCATTGATGTGTGGTTCATTTTGCTGCACAGGATTTCATTAGTCTTTCACGTTTTAGTCTACAATTCTGGCATTACTGTTTTGTCTCTTAAGCACTTATTAGCTACTGGTTGACTTTGTCACTCTTAATAAAATACAGAAAGGGCAAGGTCTTAAAAATGACCTTTTTATGAACCTCTCTGTTAGGCAGCTGTGCTGATGATCTTTAACTGAATACCTCCGAACACTTCACTTTATAGTTCTGTAAACCACTTTATTTGTGTTTTCATTTAAATAAACTGAAGGTTTTTATAGGCGGGTGGGGAAAATTAGAGGGAAAAATACCGAGTTCAAAGTAGGTGGATGAGGAACGCCAAGTCTCAGGTTCCATTTGCAGTCCCAATTGGACCAGTGATGTTATAATTGGTCTTTTCTGCGCATGTCACGGTCTTTTGTCCCTCGGCGGACACCGTTGGCAGTCAAGCTATGTCTGCGCGCTCGCTGACTTGGTAGCGTGCGGAATTTCATCTTCTTTTTCCGCAATTGCCATGGCGAGCCGAGGGGCTCGGCAGCGACTGAAGGGCGGCGGCAGTAGCGGCGGGGACACGGCCCCGGCCGCGGACAAGCTGCGGGAGCAGCTGGGCAGCCGAGAGGCCGGAGGCGCGGAGCACCGGCCCGAGTACGAGTGCGGGCGCGGCGGGGGCGTGGCCGGGTCGGGGCTGCTCGCGGGGTCGCTGGCTCCCGCCGCGGGGTCCGGAGCTTTGTTCGGCCAGGCCTTTCTCCTCTTCCGGGAGGACTGACGTTGCAGTCTTGGCCCCGCGGTAGGGTCTCTTCTCTCGTGGAGCAACCTCGGAGCATGGATCTGTGATGTTTCTGGCCAGGCCCAGAGTGAGCTGGCTTTGTGGTGTTGGCTTCGGCATCGCAGACTATGTGTGGGAGAGATTGGCGGGAGCAGCTTTTATTTCCCCCAGAAGTTCCCCCCTAACTTTTCTGTGTGGGCTCCCCCAACCTCCAGCACTTGCCGGCAGCCACCTGTCCCCAAGCTGGCAGGCTGCAGGCTAGGATTGCTTTAGAAAAGCTGTCAACACATGGAATTGAAGCAGTATACGTATCTTCTACCTGTTCAGCTGCTGTTCATTTGAACATATGGGGAGATGAATAAAGCCATTGAAAGTAATAAACTTGTTTAAGGGAGAAAAGGAGTGTGAGAGGACTGAGGCCTTCCAGTGAGTCAGGGGTGGCCTGAAATAAACCGAATATTGTAGATGGAATAAGCTGAAATAGAATTAGCTTACACCTTAAAAGTGTGAAGAGTGCTTACAGACCTTATTCATGCTACTCAAAACAAACGGTTCACCTTTTTGAGTGAATGATGTATTTTTTGCTTTTCTCTTGTCTAGTGTTACTCCTGGTTAGCAAGTCCTTCCTGACACATGGTTTTTTGGTTTGTTTTTTGCTTCTGAGCAGATTATCTGGAAACAAAGCAGGACAAGTCTGGGCACCAGAAGGATCTACTGCTTTCAAGTGTCTGCTCTCAGCAAGGTTATGCGCTGCTCTTCTGAGCAACATCTCCGACTGTGATGAAACTTTCAACTACTGGGAACCAGTAGGTCATTTTCGTTTTTGGTTTTTGTTCTTAATTTTTGTCTCTTGAGACTTATTACCAGACAAGATACAAGTAACATACAAGTGTGGCTATGAACTGTTGAAGGCTGTGGGAAATTTTGCTGGTTTAGTCAAAGCTGTGATTTGTAATTATCTTTTAAAACTATTTGGAGATAGTTTTAAAAGTTAATTACCATAAAACCTAAAGGAAGAACATCTTATTGTGCTTCTCATGTCTAAATTCTGCTTCCCACAAGCACACACTTTCTGTCAGTCCTTTATATAATTGTCACAGTGCCAATCAAAACAGCGCAACTAAATTGCATATATTATTTTGATTTAGAATTAGAATTTGGACTTGATTTAGAACTCAGAAGTAAGATTTTCATATAATATTTTGCATCAAAAGAATGGAGAAATAATGCTTAATGTGGGTACGTAAGATTTAGAGTTTTTTTTTTTTTTTTTTTAATTTTGCTAATCTCACAGCAGTCCTCCTGCCTCAGCCTCCTTGGTGCTGAGACTACAGATGTGCACCACCGTGCCCAGCCAGGCCTCTTTAAACAGTAAGGAAAGGGTAGAATTTGAAGTTTCAGTGTTGACCAAATAACAGTCTTGCACAATTTATAATATAATAATTTTTTAACATCAGATTGTTTTGATTCTTTTTTCTTCCATTAGTTGCAAATGTTAAGAATTTTTTTTTATCATTTCTGTGTATGTTTGTCTCTTTAATGTTTTACCTAGAATCCTGACCTGTGTGTGTCCTCATAAGAGAGTTTTTGGGCAATTAATTACATTATTTTGAGTCAGGGTTTCATCTGTGTAATTCAGGCTAGCCTTGAGTTTATATATTCCCCAGGTGATCTTCCTGTGTCCGCCCCCAAGTGTTGGGATTGCAGGCATGCGTCATCCCACCTGGCAGGCAGTTGAACTCTGAATCCATTTGTTTGTTTTTTTAGACACACTACCTCATCTATGGAAAAGGTTTTCAGACTTGGGAATATTCCCCAGTATATGCTATTCGCTCCTATGCATACCTGTTGCTTCATGCCTGGCCGGCTGCATTTCATGCAAGAATTCTACAAACCAATAAGGTAAGGATAGGCTAACCTGAGTACAATCACAATTGATCAAGAGGTAAGTCTCTGCAACAGTTTTGAGAAGAGAACAAAACAGATGGGAAGCAAAGAGGGGAATTTGTTTTCTTTTTCAACACAGAATCTTGCCATGCTATCCAGGCCGGTCTCAAACTCCTGAGCTCTGGTGACCCTCCCACCCAGTCTCCCTGAATAGCTTAGACTATAGGAATAGGCCATTATGCCCAGCGAAGAGATTTATTTTTTTTTTTAAGAATCATTCATTTATTATTCAATAGACATTAACAGGACAGCATTTATTCAGTAGACATTGTGTTAAGTGACCCAGCCATAAATAATGACCAAGTCTCTGTCTACAGCCCTCTATTAAGTTAATAGAGAATTTCTTTGTCAAACAGAAATCCTTAACTTTGATATAGTCTGATGTAATCAAATCAGTGTCTTCCTCGTATGGTTGGTGGGTTTTAGATCTTTTTTTTTTTTTTTTTTTTTGTCTTTTTCCTTTTTATCGGTACCGGGGATTGAACTCACGCCTGCCTGCTTCCAAGGCAGGCGCTTATGCCGCTGAGCTAAACCTCCAGCCCCGGTTTTAGATCTTTTAAAACAAAATCTTTTGTTTACTACAGATCATAAAGATATTCTTCTGTATTTTCTGCAGTTAGCTTAATAATTTTACCTTTTACTTAGACTTGAAGTTTATTTTTATAAAATGCAAAAAGAACTAACTTTACTTTTTCGCTATGCGATTAAATGAATTTTCTAGCACCATTCATTAAATAATCCATCCTTTTCGTCTGATTTGTAAAGCTACCTGTGTGTTACATCTTACTCTCACGTGTGTATGGCTCTGTTTCCTTTATTCATTATCAGTGGTGTCTTTGTTAAGTAGTAGCATATTGCTTTGATTATTACAGTTTTGTAATATAAATAACTGGTGGATGAATTTCTTGCTTTGTCTTTTATAAGATCTGAATTTTAAAAATCATTTTAGAATTAGTTTTTCTCATACCTAATCTTGCTTTTCATTAGAATTGCATTGAGTTTACATGTAACATATGACAATTAATATCTTTATAGTCTTATATTTACCTAAATGAAATTATATATTTATCTACATGAAAAGTTAGGTTTTCTATTTTTTTAAAAAAAAAATTAAAATATACCCATTTTAATCTTGTGTCTTTGATAGATTAATGCTTAGATTCTTTGTGGTTTTTCTTCTAATTATAAATATTGTCTTGAATTTTTTTTTTTATTATTTATTCATTTATTTTTTGGTCATTTTGAGACAGCATCTCACTCTACAGTTCAGGCTGGTCTTGAGTTCCTTTGTAGCCCAAGCTGGTCTCAAACTTGTAATAATCCTCCTGCCTCAGCCTTCTGAGTGCTGGAATTACAGGTGTGCGCCACCACACCCAGCTTTTTTTTGTGGTTTAGGAAAACATGATGGGTTTTTTAAAAATCTAATATTGAATATATGACTGAATTTCCTAATTAATTCCAGTGGTTTATCAGGTCAATCCCTTGAGTTTTCATCATCTCTCTCTCTCTCTCTCTCTCTCTCTATATATATATATATATATATATATATATATTTTTTTTTTTTTTTCCTTTTGGTACCAGGAATGGAACTTAGACCTCACACTTGCAAAAGCAGGCACTGTGCTGCTGTGCTAAATCCCCAGCCCAATCAGTATATATTTTAGTCCAATTCTTTGTTGCTCTACTTTAGCAAAATGCCTGAGACTGGGTAGTTTGTAAAAAAGAGGTTTTTTGGTTCATGATTCTGGTGACTGACAGGTCCAAACAGCCTGGTGCCAGCATCCTGGAAAAGTTCCCCTGACTGCTTCATATGACAGAGGAGCAGAAAGGGAATTTGCCACATATAGAAAGAGCTTTGTGCAGGAGGACAGGCTGAGACAGCTGTACGCACTTTATAAAAATCAGGATCTAATCCACTCCTGTGAGACTCCCGATTCCTGGAGTGGAGCCCTCAGGACCCAGTGACCTTGCATTAGGTCACATGCCTTCTGAGCTCACCATCTTGGCATCGCCACACTGAGGATCACACTTTCAGCACACGAACGTCTGGGAGATAAAGTATAGCCAAACCATAGCAGTATATATAGTTACTTCCTTTCTATTCCTTATATATTATTTCTTTTGTATGAAGCTGAACTTTTAGTGACTAGGTTGAATATTATAGAGATGGGGGACATGGTTGTCCTGTTCCTAAATACAATTTTTATATAAGTTCACGTTAATTTTCAACTGTCTATGTTTATTTGCACTCTTATTAGATGAAGAGTCCTTAAATGTAGAGATTTTTCTAAAATTATCTGTATTCCTCGTATCACCTGAAATAGTACCTGTGCAATACTACACTCATTGTATTGTGGGTTTTCAGTATGTTTTATTAAATTAATGAATGAATCTGGGATCAGTTCATTAAACTCATTTTGGGATTGTGTTGGTTATAGTGTTGAATACAGTATTTCCAAATTATATGTACTTAAGTTAATCCTGCTATGTATTAAGTAGTGCCTGAGTATTTTGTTGCCTTGTTTGTTTTGAGACAGGAACTGGCATGTGGTCCAAACCAGTCTCGGACTCACTATGTAGCTAAGGTTGGCCTCAAATTTGCCATCTTTGTACTTCAGCTTCTCAAGTACTGGGGTTTTAGGCATGTGCCGCCACACTTGGTCAATTCAGTGCTCAAACGTGATATTCTGTAGTAGGAAGCTATTTAATGTAACTTATTTTTATTTTTTAAGTTGATATCATTAATTATAAAATTGATCATATTATAGAAGTGTGGAAGATAGGTAGGAAGAAAAATCACACTTGTCATAGCTATTCCTATCATTTTATTATATTTCTTTTCAGTCTTTTCATACCTATATAATTCCTACATCTGGAGTTTGAGGTATAATACTGTATCATGCATTTTCACTCAGCATTTTGCAAATAATCACTTTTTGCAACAAGCATTTCTTAAGCAGCCATAATATTTTAAGTGCTAGATCTGGTGGCACATGTGTGTAATCCCAGCAGTCTGGAAGGCTGAAGCAGAGAATCTCAGATTCAAACCCAGTTTGTACAATTTAGTGACTTAGACTTAGCAAGGTCCTATCTCAGAATTTAAAAAATGGCAGGGAATGAAGCTCAGTATGAAGGCCCTGGGTTAAGTACTTAGTATCATACTGAAAAAAAATCTGTGTAATAGTCTATGTAGTAGCATAATTTATTAATAATATGCATATAGTAGGCATTTTGTGGTTTTTAAACAGTATTTGCTAAATATATAGAGCTGTAGTTGACATTTTCATGAGCTCCCCCCACTCCTTCCTCCTAGAGTGACAACAATGGTTATACTAAGCCTGGGGAAATGAAGCTTTGTATGACTTTGATATATACTGTTTTTATACCAGTTTATCTAGTATAGTTTATTGTTGAAAAATGAGAATGGCTTCATCTTTATTAATTTTTTGGGCTCCTACATATAACTTACATTTTCTTCTATATTTTTTTCAGATTCTTGTCTTTTACTTTTTGCGATGTCTTCTGGCTTTTGTGAGCTGTATTTGTGAACTTTACTTTTACAAGTAAGTATAAAAGCATTGGTTTTAAAAGTGCCAGGAAGACACTGAATATACCATAGATCATTTCTCTGATAGGTTGGCAATTAGATATAAGAAACACTTTTCTGATTCCTGGTATTAGATGTGAACTGCAACTTGTTAAAAAATAATCAAAAAGGAATAGTTCTAATTATTGTATTCTTTTTTGAGGTTCATAAATATCATTAATTTTAATTCTGTTGATACATGTCTAATTGATCTTTACTTAGTAGGATTTAGTAGAACCTTATTTTGGGGCATAAAATACAGTATAGGATCATGATTTACGGCTATCTCAGAGTTTGCTGATCGGAAACTCTTCACGAAGTGGGACTCTGTCTGTTTGCGTCCAATTGTCTTTCACAAATGAGCTATAAGTTTTTGTTTGTTTTTGAGACAGTGTCTCACCATGTATGTAGTTCAATCTGGCCTTGAACTCACCTGGTAGCCCAGGCTGGTATCAAAGTCTCAGTGATCCTCCTGCCTCAGCCTTCAGAGTGCTGGGATTACAGGTGTGTGCCACCATACATAGTCTAAGTGATTGAATATTAATGGAACTACGAGGCATTTAAGTGTTCTAGTAATAAAATTAGCTATCTTTTTTATATGGCACCTATCAAACACATTAATAATGCATTAAAGGGGTTTTAGACTTAGTGATCATTGTTAAAAATCTTCCCACAGCTATGTCAGATTAAGTGGCTGGGGATTTAGCTCAGCGGCATAAGCGCCTGCCTTGCAAGCAGGCAGTCGTGAGTTCGATCCCCGGTACCGATAAAAAGGAAAAAGACAAAAAAAAAAAAAAAAATGTCAGATTAAAAAAACAATAACAATTTTGACCTTGACTCTGGTGTACTGGAAACAAACAAACAGAAAACCAGTGGTGCCTTTGACAGCTGTAACTATGTGTTGGCCTGTATGGGTTTGGTCCTGAATTCAAATCACCTACACGATCCCCTTGAACCCCAAGTTGAAGATACTTTAAATTGCTGTGGGTTAGTAGTACCCCAAGTAATTTGTAAAAGTTTCTCTAAAGATCTGAAATCTTAACCCAAATAACAAAGAGTTACCAGAGATAAGGTTCTAATAAGTGAGAAATGATACATGTCAGTCACAAGGTGAGGAATTAATGAAGGAGGGAACGAAGTATTATGAGTGAGAGCCCGTAGAAATATTAGTCAACAAAAAGCTGACCTGCAAAACTCCATTTGTTAGGAGTTATTAAAATAGCAGTATAAAATAAGTATGTTTAATATCTGTAAAGAAGTGGAAGATGGAACTGAAGACATGAAGAAGAAAGTACAAAAATTACCAGGCAGTGGAGCCCTGTATGACCCACACTGTTCTATCATGACTGATCTTAGTTAAATCTGGTTGGTTTGATTGCTGTTTGGTATCGACAGACTTTATTCAAAACTGACATGATTGATAGTATCAGGTCTGAGAGTATAGGCAACTACACTGAAGATGACAAGACTCTACGATGTACATTCTGGTTTGATAACTGCCTGCTTTTGAAGTTATATACTGTGTACAAAGTTGTGTTTTATTAATACTGTTATGTATTGATATATTCAATTATACTATGTCTGATATAGCCAATTCTATTGAAGATAACAAGAGACAACACAGGGACTATGGTAGAACTCCTTGTACAATGGTCTTATATGTCTTTTTCATTTCATGTGTTTATAGGAATATGTTTTGTTTTGTCTTGCTTTGTTTTGTTTCTTCCTCTAATATAGAAAGGATAGAAATACATGTTAAGACTCATGCATGTGTAGAACTATAACCAGTTTACAAGAACTGATCTCATGACACATGATGAAATGAACAAATACTTTGAAGAAAAAGACACTAAAGTACCCAGTGCTGATCCTGGAGTGTCATAATATGACACCCAGCAATAGTATTATTCTTTGTTCAGAGTGAGATTAGCCTGCTTGGGTTTGTTCAATCTCAACATAATTGAAGATATGGATAACTGCATGTATGTTTAAGTGGATAGGATTGATAACCATATTACTAAGTTTTTATTGGATAGTTGAACAGAACTGTTTGCAGTCTCGCTGTTTGAATTCCCACTTTATATGTTCCGCTTTTGTATCTTGAACAACTATTTGTAAGAGGACAGTATGTAAACATTAACTAGTGATTTTTTACTGTTTATTTTTTATTTGAATGTATGTATTATTTCTATCCATTTTCTGTTTTGTTTAGTCTTTCTTTAAATAAAATTTAAAAAAAAAAACAAAAATTACCAGGCAATTTTGAAAAATAATCAGAACTTCTAGAAATGAAAATATTACATACTGATTTCATTTACTGTATATCACTTATAACCATGTTTGTACAATATTGATATTTAAAACTGAAGATATTTTAAATAGCTTATGTACAGTACTACTAACAAGAAAACTACAAGATTAATTTGAAGAAAACTAAGAATTTGGTAGAGACCAAAAAAAAGGAAATACAGAAGAGGTTATGAAACATAAAGTAAAATTGAAGGTTTAATGCATATCTAACCTGATTATAGAAAATTATATATGTAATAAAGATGTAATCATGGAAATAATAGCTGAGAATTTTCCAGAAATGGTTGGAAAAAAGTGATAACCCATAGAAACGTATCCCAAGCTGGATGCATAAAAAGAAATTATCAAGACCGTAAAACACCAGGGACAAAGAAAAAGATCTTAAAAGTTGATAGAGAACTACAAGAATACCTCGCATGAAATATTAGACTGACATATTTTTCAAGAGCCAGAAAACCAGCAAAAACTGAAAAAAAGTACTTTCGAAGTGCTGAGAGAAAATGTCATCTTAAAATTGACCACTGATAAACCATTTTTTAAGATCAAGATAAAGACATTAGAGAAAAAGAAACTAATAAAAAAACCTGAGAGTTTACCAAAATCAGGTAAAGGAGCTTCTAAAAAGTATACTTAGGGGAAAATAAATTTATTTCAGAAGGAAGCTCTGAGATGAAATAAGGGATTTGATCAAGGAAAAACCTAGCACATAGGTATATCTGAACAAATACTGACTAAGCAAAGCAGTAATATCTAAAGATGTTTAACTTGTGGGATTGGGAAAATTAAAAGGAAGTAGAAGGAGTTGATGTATCATTGCCTGTTTCAAAAACGCTGAGGCGCTCACCGTCCATTGTCATGTGTCCCCCGTCTCTTCTGCTAACCACTGCTTAGTACAGTGCAGCTTAGTCCCAGCTACCCTCCCAAGCACTTTTCCATGCATAGAAAAACAGGGAAGTTTTCACAAAAACTTCCTAAAAGTAGGTATAACCCATTATTCTTATTTTACAGATGAGGAATCTGGCAGATTGTGAGTGGACTAGGGTCCCCACTGCTGATAAGTAGCCGAGTCAGAATGTGGACTGCACCCACGTGCGCCTGCAGGCTACCTTCAGTTGGTATAGACATGGTCTTGCCATGTAAAGTAGGTATTTCCTCTTAGGTAGAGAGCTTCTCTCCTGTGTCAGCAATCAGGATATTTGGATTTCATAGGCATATAAAATTGCTACAAACCTGTTAGGATAGTTGTATTTGTGTGTTTGACTTGAACTCTTTGGTGTTGCTTCCTTTGCAGGCGTGCTTTCCCTCTCTGAATTGTCCATCTCTCATATCCACTGTGCAAATTCTGCTTTCTTCTAGGGCTGTGTGTAAGAAGTTCGGGCTGCACGTGAGTCGGATGATGCTAGCCTTCTTGGTGCTCAGCACGGGCATGTTTTGTTCATCGTCTGGTAAGCAGAAGGGTGGGCAGAGGGAGAGCAGGTTCACCTTTGGTTTACAGTTTTTTTGAAGGGAAACACTTGTCCAGGTGTCTCCAGTATTTATGAAACATGTGAATAATTTGCAGAGCACTGTTAACTACATTTTCATGTTTGATCTTTACAGTAATTATGTAGGTGAGAGCGCTGAAATTTAGAAAGGTGAAATCACTTCCTGACAGTCAAATTCACAACGGGTAGCACTGGTAGTTGCTTCCTGTTACCTTCCTGAGTCAGCTGCCCTTTTCTCTTCTCGGCCAGTAGGGGAAAGAACATAATTTTGTTTAAGAAGTTCTTTGTGCCAAAAATACTACTCTTGACAGATCTGTTTTTTGTTGTTGTTGTTTTTGAGACAGGGTCTCTATGCAGTTCAGGCTGGCCTTGAGCTCACTTTGTAGCCCAGGCTGGTCTCAAACTCCCAACGATCCTCCTGCCTCAGCCTCCTGAGTGCTGGGATTACAGGCGTGAGCCACCACCATGCCCGGCTCCACAGATCTGGGTTTTTTTTTTTTTTTTTTTTGGTACCAGTGGATTGAACTCACGACCTTGAGCTTGCCAGGCAGCAAGCACACCACTGAGTTAAATCCCTGGCCCCTCACAGATCTGTTTTATGTACGCTATGTGATATATATTTTAAGGAGGTATGCATGTTCTGTTGGGCATCTTTTTTACAGTTAAGCTTCTTACAATTTAGAAGACTTAGTTGCTGCACCAGAGTATTTGGGTTTTGTGGGCTGAGCCAGGGCAACCTGCTACAAGGTAGTCTGTTCCCAACTCTCCAGAAAAATTATTAGATGTAATTTTTAACTGTAGATTTTTCTTTTATGTTCCAAAATCTAATATACTGTATGTACTGAACATACACTAAAGTAACAATTGGCACAAAATTATACATTTATTTTTTCTTCATGAACTGTACTAAAATTAATGCTCTGGTGAGAGCTCAGGGAACTAGCCTGGAATAACTTTGAGATCTACTGCCCTAAAGGTGTCTGGGCTTTACCCTCAGAGCCGGCAGAAATTCCACAGACCTGTGCTTTTTTGTCCTCTGCACTGGCGGTTGAAATGGACAACACTGGATGGCATCTGTATTATTTAGCACAGTGACCGCAAACCTGTGCATTGCGTGCGTGCCGCAGCCCACTGTTACCATTGAAACCTCTAAAAGGTTTGTCGTTGTTGATTTAACGTATCCAGTGGTACTTCAGTTCATGAGGTTTACTTGTTCTACGGTTTTTGATATGATGGCCACATTCGTGTTTGTGTGGGAAAGATGGCTGAGGTGGTGTTTATCATCCACTGCAGAGTTTGCCAGCAAAAACAAAATTTTCCCAAAGTTTCTGTTTGTGAACAAAGTGTTTGTGAACTGAAGTACCACTGTATCTGTACAAGTTCCCAGGAGTATCTTTAGTATTATAATGTTAGTTGAAGCACAGATAAGTTGGAACAGAGCTTCTGAACCCTTTGCTAAGTTTCTTTTCTTTTTTTTTTTTTAAAAAAAAGCAAAATAGAGCAACCTACTTGTGACCCCTTCTGTCTCTCTCAGACAGAAGCTTTCTTTCTTTCAATAAACATATTCTGCTTTTTTAAAAAAAGCAAAACAGAAAAAAGGATAGAAATTATACAGAATTTTTAAAAAATAGTAAGAAATTAACACTAATTAATATATTCATTTGTTATCTTAGAAGTAGTCGTTTAGGTTTTGCTGAGTTTCTGAAATCTCACTGCCTATTCATTGTAGTTCTTTTGAAGTTGACTTATTTTTTCCCTTGGTGTTAAGAGAAATCAGACCTCTGCAATAGGAGAAGCAGGTCTGTATTTTTGTTCAAAATTACTTGAAATACTTTGATTGTTGGTATTGCAAAGACTGGATTTGCTTAGTCCTCTGCTGTACACCACAAGAAGGTCATGATAGATGTAAATAATTTCAGGCCATGTCAGTGGATCAAGTGTGCGAAGTGATGCTGCTGTTCCATGTTTCCCCGTGGGAAGGCTTTCTAGGGTTCCTGTGCAGTACCCATTATGACCGAGGCTGTCTCAGAGCATCAGAACTTGTTTTTCAGAAGTTGTCAGCAATGGCTCTAAGTCTTTTAAAACGTATTTCCTGCCTGGGATATTCTTGGGCAAACTGGAATTTTTCAAGTTTTGAATTTGAGAGACAGGAGAGGAATGGCATAGTTAGTATTATAAAACCAAGGCCATGTGCTGGTACCTAAACATCAAGAATGAGAAAATAAGAAAAGCATTGAACTTACTATTTTTTTTAAAAAAGAAATATCCCTTTATTGGCTATTTCTAAGAAAGCATTGCCCAAAATATCTGACTGGCTATTGACATTTTGCCGTGTAGGTGAGCTTTTAATACTTGATGCCAGTCTGAGTCTCTTGTCCTCCTTCATCTTTTCATTTTTATTTTTCTTTTTTATGCTTGCAGCCTTCCTTCCTAGTAGCTTCTGTATGTACACTACGCTGATAGCCATGACCGGCTGGTATATGGACAAGATTCCCGTTGCTGTGCTGGGCGTGGCAGCAGGGGCTATCGTTGGCTGGCCGTTCAGTGCAGCTCTTGGGTAAGAAAGTAACACAGTTCATCTCCCATAATCACTAAGCCTGTGGCAGATGTTACTGTTGGACTAAATACATATTGCAGGTAGCACCAAAGTTATAGGAGTTATTGGGACTAGCAAAGGTTCTGGGAAAAGAAAGCACAGTTTTCTTAGTGTTTATTATTATGTTAAGTCACAATAGTGACTTAATCTTCCACTACATATTAGAAACTGCTAAATCCTTTAGAAACTTTACTCCTGAACCTTAAAAGAACTCTGTAAGAGACTGTAATCATTATGATTATAAATAAGAAAATAAACTAAGAGGTTGAATAATTTGTCTTTAAAATTATGCTTGAACTGGATGTGGTGGTGCATACCTGTAAACCTACATAGAGTTTGAGACCAGCCCAAATTACATAGTGAGATTTTTCTCAAAAAAAAAATTTTATGCTTACTTTTTGCCCCTTTTTCTTTTTTGGTCTTTTTGAGACAGGGTCTCACTATGTAGTTCAGGCTGGCCTTCAACACTTTGAGCCCAAGCTGGCCTAGAACTCACTGTGATCCTCCTGCCTCAGCCTTCTCAGTACTGGAATTATCGGTGTGTGACTCCACACCCAGCTTGATTTGCATGCTTTTGATTCTGGTCCTCTGTAACTCTGCAGCTGGTGTTTTCCCCGCACTGCTTCACCCTGTGCTGTGCATTTCCCCAGTCGCCTCGCCGAGAAATACGAGTTTGCTGCAGTCTTTCTCATTTCTTGCCTGTGTCGTTTTTTTTTTTAAAGTTCAATTGTGCCTGTCATTCCTTTTGTAGTCTTTCTTCCACCATGTATATACTTACACTTAACGTCTTGACTATATTAGTAATTTAAAAAATATTTTAGTTTGATATGAAGTTTATTATAGAAGTATTATTTCTGTATTATAAAAAAGTATTAGGGACTTGGAGTGTAGCTCAGTGGTAGAGCATTTGCCTAGTAGGTGTAAGTTTCTGGGTATCATCCCAGTACCACAAGCAAACAAGTACCAGATTTTGCAAGATTAGAAGAATTCTTTAGGTCTGGGGAATATAGCTCAGTGGTCTGGCACCTGCCTGCCAAGTGTGAGGTCCTGAGTTTGGTACCAAAAAAACAAAGAATTCTTTGCTGGGCATATAGCTTAGTGGTAGAGTGCTTATCTGGGTTGCATTCCTAGCATGGCAAAAAACAAAAACAAAAAACCTCCTAATTTTGATTATTTATTTATTTTGCTGGTACTGGGGATTGAACCCAGGGCCTTCACTGCATTTCCAGCCCTTTTTATTTTTTCTTTTGAGACATGATCTCACTAGGTCATTAAATTGCCCAGGCTGCTCTTAAACTTGTGATCCTCCTGCCTCAGCCTCGCAGTGTACTAAGATTACAGGTGTACATCACACAAAAGCCTAATTTTTTTCTTGTCCAACCGAATCCTCACAGATAACCAGTATTAATAATTTTATATATATTTTCCCAGAAATTATCCTTGTGTGCTTTGTGGGTACAAATACATGTGCAGGAGGCTGGGAATTTAGCTCAGTGGCATAAGTGCCTGCCTCGCAAGCAAGCAGTCGTGAGTTCGATCCCGAGTACCAATAAAAAAGAAAAAGACAAAAACAAAAACAAAAACAAATACATGTGCATACATAACTGTATTTTTTAAACAAATAGAATTATCCTATAGATATGTTTATCTTCTCTTATACATAGATTATATCATTCTGTACATCAGTTGTGTAGCGTTCCGTTGTATGCTGATCATAATTTACTTAACCAGTACTTTATTGGTAGACATTTAGTTTCCAGTTTTTTGTTCTTTTTTTGTTTGTTTGTTTTTGTTTTTTAGTCTTACAATACTTCAGCAAACATTTTTGTCAGTTGCATACTTTTGGAAATTTACTATGAGATAAAATTGAAAAAATTTTTTATTTTAAAGAGACTAAAACCAAGCAAAATAAAACAGAATAAAGCCAATCAAAACCAGTGTTAAGTGACACAAGACTTCAAGGCAATAGGAAATCAACAGTGGTTACATAGTGTCTCTTATTGTCCCCAAAATAGGTGCAGATACCTTCAGACATAGTAAAAATCATCATAGAACAGAATAGAACCAGTAAAAACAAAACAATGAATGCATTGAAGACTTCAAAACAAGATAATAGTAAATCCAAAGTGGCTACTATAATATATATTGTTATCTTTGAAGTAGCTGCCTGTGCCATTAGATATAATAAAATCAAATGAGGGGCCAGGAGTTTAGCTCAGTTTCACAAGCACCTGCCTGGCAAGCACTAGGTTGTGAGTTCAGTCCCCAGTACCCCCTCCCACCCCACCAAACCCCAAAACAATCAAACAAACAAAAAATCAAATGAAACAAAACAGAATAAAACCCAAACTAATAAAACAATGAAAATGATACAGGACTTCAACAAGATAATAAGAAATTAACAATGGCTACCACCAGGGCAAGGGATTTAGCACAGTGGCATAAACGCCTGCTTGGCAAGTGCGAGTTCGTGAGTTTAATCCCAACTCCCCCCCCCCCCCCAGTGGCCACCACCTTCAGAAGGAGCTCCCCCCTAGATGCTACATTTCATATTATTCTCTGAATAGATGATCAGACCACCAGCTTTAGACCTGCAAGGTCAGTGAGACCACTAAGCACTACAGGCGTTAAGTCGTATTTTCATCAGTAGCCGCCATCACAGCCTGTGTTTCTCTGTGTAAGCATTGCTTACATAGGGGAGAGGGGATGGCTCTTGTTTCCCAGCCTGTGTGCCCGAAGGGCATCTGGCTTTCCCTTCAGCACGTGGTGCCGATTCGCAGGGAGGGCTTGCTTCTTGGTGACTTCTTGATCTCTTCCCCCACAGTCTGCAAATGGTGCTGACTCATGGGAAATGGCTGGCGTCTGTCTGTCCCACCAGTGGCCTGTACATGGCGCTGATTCACGGGGGATGAGATAAATTTTTACACAGGGAATTATGTTAGAGTAAGCCATTTTAAGTATTCTTTCTTGCTTTTTTAATTCTAGCTTCCCACGTCTAATCCTTTCTTCTATTCTACATACCACCTTTAAATTATGTTCCTCAGTGAACCTTAGCTATTTTCTATACTTCTGCTGTCTCTCATCACTTTTTTTTTTTTTTTGTCTTTTTGTTTTTTTTATCGGTACCGGGGATCAAACTCAAGACCGCATGCTTGCAAGGCAGGTGCTTATGCTGCTGAGCTAAATTCCCAGCCCCTCTCATCACTTTTATAATTCCTATGTCAGTAGATGCAAAATACCTTTTTCTCCTCATACTGGGGACTAAACCCAGTGAGTGCAGAGTTCCATCTCTGATCCTTTTTGCTTTTTAACTGTGAGAAGGGGTGTTGGTTAGTTTCCGAGACTGGCCTCAGACCTGCTATCCTCTTGCCCTAGCCTCCCACGCAGAAGGAATGACAGGCCTATGCCACTGTACCTGGCCGGAAAATACTTCTAAAAGCAAAGAAAGCTTTATGATTTTTTTGTTTTGTTTTTTGAGGCAGAGTTTCACTTGTAGTGTAGGCTGGCCTCAAACTCGCAGTGATCCTCCTGCCGCAGCCTCCTGAGCAATAAGATTACTGCCATATGTAGCACCAGGTCTAGCTGAAAACTTTATGATTGTAAGTGAAAATTTTGACTTCACTCACATTCCTATTGCTTATTATCTATCTCCTCAACTGATTGCCTTCCCCTACATCTGTTTCTCTACCTGTATTTCTTTTTTTGTCTTTTTCCTTTTTTATCGGTACCGGGGATCGAACTCACGACTGCCTGCTTGCAGGCAGGTGCTTATGCCACTGAGCTAAATCCCCAGCCCCTTCTACCTGTATTTCTATACCAATAAATGGTATTGCTGTCTGCTCAGTACTGAACTGAAAACCTTCAAATTACGTGACTCTTTTTCTTTTCACATTGTATTAATTTATTATGGCTTCTAAATTTTTTTCCCTAAGTGTCTTCTTGATCTGTGTTTCTTCACCTTTCCTCTGCCCCTGGATTACAATACAGCCTGCTAAGTGGTCTCCACATCTCCATTCTTAGCCTTGTAAATCTGCTCTGCACTCTGCAGCTGCAGTAGAGTTCTCTAGTCGAGTTCTGCTTGTATCATGTCCCTGTTTTGACTTGTAATGGCTTTTCATTGCTCAGTACCATAAGAGTTGGCAAACCTGCCAGTGAACTAAGTCCAAATATCCTGTTTTTGTATAACCTGAGAATAGTTTTTACTTTTTTATTTTTATTTTTTGTTACTGGGAATCGGACTCACAACCTTATGCTTGCCAGACAGATGCTTATGCCACTAAGTAAATCCCCAGCCCTCCACACACACACACACACACACACACACACACACACACACACACACACACATGTTTTAAAGAGAACAAAGCCCAACAAAACAGAACAAAGCCAATCAAAATTCAGCAGTAAAGTGGTACACAACTTCAATACAGGACACTAGGAAATCAACAATAGCTATCATGCTATATCTTGCTGTCTTCAGAATAGTTGTCCATACCATCAGACAGAGCAAAGTCAAACAAAACAAAGCAAAATAAAACCAATCAAAACATAACATTAAATAAAATGAAACAATAAATTGGAACACAACAAAACAGAACAATACTGCACATTGTTATCTTCAAAACAGTTGTTCAGGTTACCAGATGCAGGAATAAAATGCAACAGTAAAATGGAACAAAACATTTGGTTCAAAAACAAGACATGGGGCTGGGGATTTTTAGCTCAGCTGCATAAGCATTTGCCTGGCAAGCACAAGGTCATGAGTTCGATCCCTGGTTCCACCAAAAAAAAACCCCAAAACGACAACAACAACAAAAAAACAAGACAGGAGGGCTGGGGGTTTAGCTCAGTGGCATAAGTGCCTGCTTGGCAAATGCAAGGTCGTGAGTTCAATCCCCGGTACCAAAAAAAAAAAAAAAAAAAAACAAACAAGACAGGAGGAAATCCCCCACAGCTGAGAGAATGCACATTGCGGTCCTTCAGGTAGACCCCCTGACCCCCAGGCCCAGGCCTGCAGTCAACCAAACAGTCCCCTCCACTGCCACCCTTTCACCCTGAGTCCTCCATATCAGTGGGGAAGGAGGGGGTGCTCTACTGGCTTTTCAGCTCACACACTGGCTGGCTCCCAGGAAGGTGTAGTTTCTCTGGCTGGGCTCTCTCCAATCAGCATGGTGGCGCTTACTTTATTGTATTTCATAAACACTTCATACATATAACCTAAGGATCATCTTATGCAGTAGTTTTAATGATCTTATGCCTGCAACAAAGCTTCATGCTGTTGAATGTTCCAGTTGTGGCATCAGGTCAGCACTCAGGAAGTTTCAGAGCTTGGAGCATTTAGGATCTCAGACTTCTAGATGAAGGATGCTTATCGTTAAGAGTAGCTGCCTTTGATAAATCATCTTTACCCATTGAACAAAACTTTTATTTCTATGTCCCAATTTTTTTTTCCCAAACAATCTGTTGGTGCCTAGAGGAATGCTGTTTTCAAAGATCATTTCTAACTTTGGGTTGTCCTCATGTTTGCCGTTATGTCGCTTCCACTGAACACACTAGGCTGGTGCAGTTACTGCAGACCGAGGGAGCTCCCGGACTCCCTGAACAAGTTTACTCCAGACTCAGTAGTTGGTTATATTCTGTAATTCCATGATTTGGGGGGCAGGTGGCCTATCTTTGTTGGAGAAATCCCTGTGAGGTTCAAGGGATAGTTTATGAGTTTTTAGTTTTTTAAAAAAGTTGTTGAAACCTGGATGTGGTGGTGCATGCCTGTAATTCCAGCACTCAGGAGGCTGAGGCAGGAGTATCACATGTTCAAGATCCGCTTGGGCTACAAAGTGAGCTCAAGACCAGCCTAACTACATAGCAAGACCCTGTCTCAAAAAGCAAAAAGAAAAGAAAAAGAAAAAGATTATTGAAAAACAGTGCACATATACAGAAGAACATTCAACACAGGCCATATCTGGCCTGAGAAGTCTAACATGAATAATGCATGTCAGTCCTTTAAATAAAAAGCTTCTCCTGTGATGTCCAAATCCTCAACCGACTCCAAAGCTCTACATGGTCTTCCTGGCTTTTCCTTCCTCTGCTCCTTTTTGTCAGTTCCTCCATTCTTCCCCTTTTCTGTTTCATCTGCATTCACCTTAACATGTTGAGTTCCACAGGTACCTATGGTGGCACATTTTGATCCTTTTGCCTTCCTTTATTAAATACTTTGTTGCTGATACTGTATTAGACAGTCACGCTGCTTCCTTTTTTGGAGCTTACAGAGTAGAAAAGATAAACACTGAACACTGATGGCTTAGCCAGACATGGCAGGTCAGGGCAGAGGTATCTCAAGTTCAAGGCCAGCCTGGGCAACTTAGCGAGGTATTATCTCAAAATGAGAATCAAACCTAACAAAATAATGCTAAAAATGGGCTGGGGATATATGTAGTTTAGTGTGAAAGCCCTGGTTCAATCCCCACCTCTAGCGTCTCCAAAAATAAAAAAATAAAAAATAAAAAAATCAGTCATTAAGAAATACACATGCTATTGAAATTAGTTGAGAGAAAAAATAAAAGACAATGTTTATACAACATTTAAAGAGTAGAGTGTAGAAGTTCAGGTCGTAAGAACATTTCCAGTGATCACACATGACATTGTCCAATAAATGATGGAGATGATAACCCCTCCAAATTCAGAGCGGGGAGAAGCTGTTTCTGCAGAGACTTCATGGGAATGACAGGAACAGGACTGCCGGTGACATTTGGGTAGACTCTGGGCAGCTGTGTTGGTGAAGGGGAGAATGCTCTGTGACTGCAGCATGGATAGAGGCCTGCCATGCCTTAGAGCTGTGCAAGGTCGCATTGTTCATGCGACAACAGCAGAAGCACCCGCACATGTAACGAGTGTAGTTACTTCGGCAAGACAGCATGGTGAAGGGTAAGGCAAAAATAAAGGCAGGTAGACCTGAGCCCTAGGGGAGTGAATGGAAGGAACAGGAGCCGGGGTGTTACAGATGGCAGGGCAGATGTTTTGTGACTAGTGAAACAGAATGACAGAAGGAAATGAACCCTGTGAAGAGATGTTGGTTCTTGCCGCGAGGAGATTCCAGTGTACCTTAAGTCAGCCTTAATCACTTAGGCTAAGCCTTGAAGGAGCAATAGTGAAATGAGAGAACACATCTGTGCGACTTGTTGGAGGAATGTGGGTAGTAGGAAGAATAATAAATGGTGTTGGAAGGGGATAGTTAAGAATGGAAGTCAGAATTTGTAGTATATTTCTGAAATCCTAGTAAATCTTGGAAAAGAGATCAATATTTACTTGACATGGTAGGTACAGGATAATGGGGGCACATTTGTGTATAATTAATGTATTTTAAATGTCCATTATATAAAATATGTACAAAATAGAATTTGTTTCAGCAGCTGTTTTTATATTTCTTGTACAAATGAGGGTTGCATAGCTTTCTGATGGGTCCTGTGGCATTTTTGAGACAGTGTTCTCGCATGGACTGGTTTTCTTCCCTCTCTGTCACAGGCAGAGATATATTATTGTCAGCATAGGAAAGGAATGTGTGAATCTGACTTGTTCTAAATGTTTTACTTACCTCCCGACTTTTTGTTTCTGTTAATAGCATACCCATTGCCTTTGATTTGCTGGTCATGAGGCACAGGTGGAGGAGTTTCTTTCACTGGTCCCTGGTGTCCCTCATTCTCTTTCTGGTGAGTTTTCTTCTTGCTTTTTTGTTCTCATGTTGTAATGAAAGCTATTTGGGATGTGCAAAAAGGAAACATTAGGAAAAAAAAAGGAAACATTAAGAGTTGGTTTGGTTTTCCATTCTCAGGTTTATCCATTAGCGTCTGAGAGTGTTTCAAGAGAAAAACTTTATGTTTTTTTTTTTTTTTAAATAACATTTCAAAACAAGATAGAGGATAACAGTGGTTAATACATTGCATATTATCATCTGTAGTTACTCAGAGTCCACGATAACTGCATTTAATTGTCTAAACAATATTAGCACAAACCTTTCTTTTCAGTGAACTAAGAGAAATTAGTATATAATTATCTTAATTATCGTAATATGTATTGTGTCTAGTATATATTTCTACATATATATTCTTTCAGCTTCTCACACTAGGGAGGCGATATAATGTTCATACATGTGATCTGGTTTCTTTCACTTATGCCTGTGGTCTCTAGTAAAACTTCACAGTTGCTTTACATTTTCTTTTCTGTTCTAGGTGCCTGTAGTGGTCATTGACAGCTACTATTATGGGAAGTTGGTAATTGCACCACTCAACATTCTTTTGTATAATGTCTTCACTTCTCATGGACCTGATCTTTATGGTAAGGCTTTCCAAATTTTGGCAAGAGCTTGAAATTAGCTTGGATTACTTGTGCTTCATAATTTTAATTTAGTTATCCGATTTTATCACATATAACATTGCTTTGCTGATGATTTTATTTCCCTACTTAAAAAATAGAATGACACATAAATATTGCACAACAGTGGATCTTTAGTCACTTGAAGAGTTCTTCTCAATTAATGTGACACTCAGATGCTGGCTTTGTGCTTATCCTGCTATCTGTTACTAATAGTTTGAAAGTTGGAGTTGAGTGTGCCACAGGTTTTAATGCTGTTCTCTTTTTTCCTGAATTAAATTTTTTCTCTTTTTATTAGAAAACTTATATGATAGCATAGAGAATAAAAACATAAGCCCATGGTTTCCACGTAGGCATTGCTGACCACCAGTGATACAGCAGCTGTGTGAGCCCTCAGGAACGTGTGACGTCATTTTCTGCACATAGATACACTTGATGTCTCTTTTTTTCTCTTTTCTTGTTTCCTCTCTCCATCCCTCTTTCCATCCCTCCTCCTTTTCTTTTTCTTCTAGTCTGGGGATGAACCAAGGGGTGCTGTACCCCTAAACCACATCCCTGGTCCTTTAATTATTTTTCCTTTTTCTGAGACAAGGTCTTGCTGAGTTGTTCAGCCCAGTCTCAAACTTCTGACCCTCCTATATCAGTCTCCCAAGTACCTGGGATTATAGTCCCATGCCACCACACCCGGCTTATTTTATTTTATTTTTTGATTTATAGTACTTCATTATCAGATATTCAGCAGAAAATTTGAAAAATCTGTGGACACAGTAGCAAATAGAGATAGGGGTCAACAAGAGATTGTGAGTAGCTTGGACGGCTTAGGGTTAACAGAAAACAATTCAGTCCAGTGCTTGGTTCAGTTTTATTTGACCCCTGAAGGCATTTGAGTTACTTACAGTTACAGAAAAGTGAGTTAGAGATCTTCCTCATCGGATCTAATCTGATTAGATCAAGTCAGTAAACATTTTATGGACAGTGTTTTTCATTAAATTAAGTATAGTTCTTTAACATTTTAAGAACTTTTTCTTCTTTGGGATAAGGTCTCTCTGTGTAGTTTAGGGTGGTCTTGAGCTTCCTGTGCAGCCCAGGTTGAGTGGAGCTCACAGCGATCCTCCTGCTTTAGCCTCCTCCCTACTGCTGGGATCACAGGAACATGCCACCATGCTGGCAACTGAGGACCTTTAGAGCATCCTGTATATACAGATGTCTTGGCACTGGTATGAAGCTGGTCAATATTTTATCTGTTGCTACCAGTACGTTGCTTTGGTAGCCGTGCCCTCATCTGCCTGGGCTGTACTGCTGAGGAACCGATAGATTGCATTAGGAGCCTTGAAGTTTCCAAGAATTTGGGCAATACAGTATTTCATTTTAGATGGCAGATAATAAGTTAAAATAAGCAGTGCTTTGGTAAATTGGCTTTTCAGATTTTATGCTTAAAGAAAAATTGCTAAATGTGTGAACTTTAAGAGGCTTCTTTATGGTTCCAAGATTACCAAGGAAGTGAGAAAAGGCCCAGTTTTAAACTTTTACCTCTAGATGTCCCCCTTCAGCTAGGAAAAGTTTGCAGCTTTACATTTAATTTACTTGTAAAATTATACTTAATTTAATTTACTTGTAAAATTTTGCTTGACTCTGGAAGACCATTAACAATTTTAAACCAAGCGTGGTAGTGTATGCCTGTAGTTACTCTGGGAGGCTGAGATGAGAGAATTGAAAGTTGTAGCTCCTGTGTCTTGTTTTTCCAAGCATCTGCCTTCCAGTCTTAAATCCTACTCATGTCTCTTTAAAAAAGAGAAAGAAAGAAAGAAAGAAAAGAAAGTTGTAGCCCATTCTGGGCAATAGAGTGCCCAGAATGAGAGCCTATTTCAAAATAAAAAGGGCTGGGGATGTAACTCAGTGCCAAACCCCTGCATTCATTTACTAGTACCAGGAAATCAAAAAGACTTTAGATCTAGATTGCATGGTAAAAATTGATAGGTATGTGCCTTATTAGAACCATATCCATTCTGATAGGTAAATAAATGGACATAATTTGTGTTAATTTTGAAAAAATTGGTGTCTTCGTTTTTCTTTTTTTTTTTTTCCTTTGGTCTTTTGAGGCAGGGTCTCACTGTGCAGTTGAGGCTGGCCTTGGGTTCATTCATAGCCCTCGCTGGTCTCAAACTCATAGCGATCCTCCTGCCTCAACCTCCCGAGTGCTGTGATTGCAGGCATGAACACAGTGCCCAGCACATTTTCTTAAATGGGTTATTGTATATTGCCTTTCTGACTGCATATTTACAAAACCTTTTGTGGGAATGTGTGAAAGTAACATTTTTTTACAGCTTTCTAGATTGATGAGTCTTATAAAGCTAGAAGTAGTAAGGCTGGTGGAGAAAGTGAGGAAGGAAGTAACTGAGATTTGAGTCTATGCTTTAGTTCAGCACTGGGTTGCTCAGCGACGCTGTGGTTAGTTTGGGGACCAGTAGAGTCGTGTCCGTTCTTTCACTGGACGTTGACATTGGCTATTCATTTCCAGCAGTGTTTATTGGGAAAGAGTCTGTAGGACTCTTTCCTGCCTACTTTGATAACGTGGAATTGCTTTAGATTTTGCTGTTTTGGATGTGGAGAAGGTTCTGTCATTATCTAGTGGTAGCAAAAATTTTTGTTGGAACTGTAAGATTTGTCACACTGGCGTGAACAGGATTGATGCAATGCTGAAGTCACCCAGCCTTAAGGAAGTTGTTTCTTCATAATGGACTTCTGGGCTTTTACCTCATCTTTGAATTTGACAAATTTCAAGGGTGTGGAGTGGGTCTGGGTGCCATTCTTTTAAAAAATTCCTTCATGTTTTAGCAGGGCTGCAGGGAAATATTTCTTCACCTTGGGAGAAGGAATGTCCTACATGTTCTTAGTTTATAGTAAAGATTTGTCAAGAATGAATGAATGAATTTTGGGTATGTATCAGGGTATATTAGTATCTTTACTATCATATCTAACAGCTACTTTTGTTAGATCTGTTCTGATGCTGGCTTGGAGTTTTCTTAATACCATCTTAATAGATGTAAAATACTTTTTTTAAAGAAGTACTTTATAATTGTCAGTTTATTCAGTAAATATCAAAGATCCATCTTTTATACATGCTTTGATGCTGTAAGGTTGTTAGCGGCGAGACAGCAGGCCCTTTGTTGAGAGCACCAGCTCTTTAACGTGCTTGTTTGACACTGCTTCGCGTCATTTCAGCTGAGTTTCCTGCTTCCTCATCTCTCATTGACTGTGGTAGACCTCCTTTATTTAACAATTAAAAATGCATTGTACTAATAGTATTTACGTACATCCTGTAAGTGTTTTTTTCTCTTAAGAACATAATAAACTTACACACATTTTTTAATAAGTGGATAGACTAGTTAAAGAAACAAATAAATCGCCTGTGAGGACTTGCTTTGTGTCCTTGTAGGACATGGTATCTCATGAGGTTCCAGACCGTAAGTAGTTACAGTGTGGTGTGCTGTGCTGCAGTGAGAAGGCAGACGGGACCTCAGGGGGCAGTCCCTCTGGTGGTGCCGTGACAGGTGTGGTTCTGAGATACCTTGAAAGGAAGAGTAGGAGTTTGCCTAGTAGATGCTGTGGTGGAGGCATTTCATACAGATGGGGTGTCAAATATAGGAGCTGTGAGGAAAAAAAGATCAAATACTGAGTTCTGTTTAAAACAGTAGTATTTTTATCCAGGTGCAATAGCACATGCTTATATTTGCAGTACTCCTGGAGGCTGAGGCAGGAGGATCACCGTGAGTTCAAGGCCAGCATGGGCTACATAGTGAGTTCAAGACCAACCTAAATTACATAGCAAGACTCTATCTCAGAAAAAGCCAGCCTCCCTGCGAAAGTACTCCCTACCTCACCCCCCAAAAAGCTCTAATATTTTTGTAGCATTGACTGAATTTTGGGGGAGAAACTCCTCAGGCACAAGCAAGATGGTTTAGTCCATTGTGATGGTAATCATATAAATATTTTTTACTTTTGGCCTGGAACTCATGGTGACCTCCTGCTTCAGCTTCCTCTAGTGCTGGTTTTATGGGCATGTACCCCTGGGGCCATTTCTGGTTTGCAAAGGGGCTTGTCTGTACTTTCTTGGGTACATAGCGTGTACTGACAAATTCCTGGCGTGGGCTGACTCCTTCCTTTTGAAGCCAAGGGAAAGACAAGGACTACTTCATGGATATTGTTGTATCTTCTGTTTATTGAATGCCTGTTATGTGCCAGCAGCTTTATGCATACTGCCTCCTTTTCTCAACAGTTTCACAAATAGGCATTGTTTGTCCTTGTTCCCAGGTGTGTGGGAAATACACTGACACCTAGTTAAACACCTGTCAGGAATGGCTCAGAGTCCAGGGTTTCTGATTCCTAAGCCTGGGTTCTTTCCGATGAAAAATACTCTTAGCGAAGCCCTGTGATCTGGTTGTTGAGACTCTGGAGGACAAGCTTGCAAAGCAGGAGAATGAGTTTGAGAGTAAAACCCGGTAAGAGGTTGCACCTTTGAAGGTCCGTGCATTTGGCCTTTTGGCTTGAAGGATGGTCAGGAGGGCTTGGCTACCAGAGAGACATGCACGCAGATGGCCTGTTCAGCACTGCCCCTGACCCTAGTTGAAGAAAAGAGTGGACGAAGTAAAGAATACTTGGCACGTACGAAATTTAGAGTGTTTAGAATAAATTACAGCGTCATGGGCAAAACATCTTTGTGGCATCAAAAGTCAACATGAAGTTTAACATCACAGAAAAGGAGGCGATTGCTTTTGGCAGCAGTTCTCAGATGTTGATATTAACGGCTACTTTTTATCTGTGAGTGAGTAGTGGTGTTCTCTGGTGAGCCCATGAACCTGGGGAAGGCATGGGACGGCACTTGGAACGTTCAGCTGGATGTGGTGGTGCACACCTGTGACCCCAGCTCTCTAGAAACTAAGGCAGGAAGATCCAAAGTTTGAGTCCAGCTGGAGAGTTTAGTCATTTAACAACACTGTCTCAAAATAAAAATATAAAGGGCTGGGGATGTAGCTCAGTGGTAGAGCACTCTGTGTCCAATGATCAGGACTGAAAAAAAAAGAAAAAAGTAAAGAAGAGGGATGGAGGAGAAAGAGAAAGGAAAAAAAAAAAAAAGGAAAGGAAAGAGGAGAGAAGAAAAGAAAAAGCACTTCCCTCAAATGAACAGGGCTTCTACTCAAGTGTGCCACACTGCGGCTTAGGACAGGGCTTCATAGTCTGTGTGTTTTACCCAGCATCTGTCAGGTCACTGGACGGGAAGGCAGAAGTGAATACCTTTTGTTAGAAGGCTTTTGGGTTTCCATTGAGAGCCGTGGAGGGTAAATCCCCAGTGGAGTCTTAAGGAGGCCTGCTTAGAGTTGACTGCAAGCCAGAGCTATTCTAGAGCCTTCACGCCTTTGTTAATCCTTTCTGAGGAACCTTGTTAGCTCTTCCCTGTTGGTGGTACAAATTTGACATTTATAAGGATGACTTACTGTAATTTAGCTCCTACAGTTCTGTAAAATTACAGGCGTGCACAGAAGTTCCCCTTCCTTCAATCCATGGAACAGTAAACAGTATTCTTTCTTCTTCTAGCCCCTTTCAAAGCTCCCGTTAGCTCATTTGAATGAAAGGGACTGAGGCACTTTCCATGAAGAAGGGGGCTGCTGAGTCGCGGCCTGCGAGACCCTGCTGCCAGCCTGCTTTCGCCCGATGCCTTGTGCTAGTGCAGGGCTCAGCTGGCCACTCTGAAGTGATTCTGCTGTACTGTTCAGCCTTGATGCCTCCTGAGCATTAGCGTTGAGTAGCTCCCTGCAAAGACAGGAGTGTAACCCTCTGTTTTCCTGAAGTAGATGTCTCATCAGGTAGGGGGCACGCTAGCGAACAGAATTCACTCTTTTTGTCCTTCCTTATGCTTGTTTTTAAGAACGTTGTCACTCAAACTTTCTTCACTCTTGACTTATCCCCCAATTTCCTTCAGGGAAAGAACAGTGTATTATGAAATGTTCACAGCCTTTCTGAGACAGTGATTTAAGAGCTCCCAACTTAATACTTTTAAATAGAAATAATTCAGTTTACCAGCTTACTACTTTTGATTCTGCATGTAAGAAGACTAAGTAAAAAGGTACCTCAAACAGGAGGGTTTAGTAAGTTGTGATAGAGACAAATATTTGTTAGAAACTAAGCTTTCCTGGAAAAACTATCCATGTTTGCTTTTTTTTTTTCTCTGCTGCTGCTTAGCATCTATAATACACTGTTTCTACCTGCATCTTGTCTTTACAGGCTCAGAGTTCCAGAATTCTCCTGAGATGTTGTTCCAGAGAGGGTTATGTGAAGCTTACCTTTCTGAAAGCTGGATGTTACAGGACTTATTTTAGAAATTTCTTGTTAAATATTAATGAAAATTCAACATGTTTCTTTCTATTTTGCAAATAAAACCATCTGCTGATTTTATGTGACCCAAATAGTTAAATACAGAGTGCCAGGTTGAAAATGTCCCTGATGAACTTGACCTGAGAAAGAATCTCTGTTCATTGTATTTAGAGAGGAAGGAATGAACTTTCCTCAGAGTTAATACACCATTGGACTTGGACTGTTCCTTTATTATAGCCTCCTTCCCTCTTATTCCTCTCCTAAGTGTTTCTAGCATTATGAGTTTTGTTTCTAATCTTATTTTGCTGTGCAAGCTGCAGAAATGTCAGGTTTTCTGACTATTCCTCTGCCTCCTGATTACCCTTTTAAGCAATGCTGATTGCAGGAAATTGCTGTGGTGCAGGGCGGGTGTCACAACACACAGTGATTAAAACCCGCATATGTCATTCAGTGCCTGATTGAAGTAATCATACAGAGGGAAGAAGCAGATGAAAACCCTGCTAAATGTGTGGGTGGGTGGGGGGGTGAATGCTGTTTTTCATCATTTCGGTTTCAGGATTTTGAGTTACAGAATCAAAACTCGTGTTTCAGTCTTGCTTCATTCTGAATTCTCAGAACTTCGGAGCAGGGCCTGGGTTTCTGAACATGATCCTAAAAAACCAAGTGCTGCTTTTTATGAAATTCACAGTACCCTATGTACATGCCTGTGAAATAGTAGTTGAGCATATCAAGGGGAAAGATGGTAGAATGTAAATGGGACAGACGGGCAGGGATAAAATGGGAGAGGCCAAGCTTTCTTTTTCATTCTTTTGGGCCACAGACTATTGAGAGTCATTAAATTCAAATGGCTCTTTTGATTTTGTTCTGCATGATTCTGTGTTCCTAAACTATTTAAATTATTTGGTTCTATTAAAGTGTTGGTTCCGTTTGGGTATGGCACTTTGGGCTAGATAGATATAGTAGGTTTCTATCTTAGTGTGTGCTGCCATAACAAAATACCTGAGAGAGGGTAATTTATAAAGAACAGAAATGTATGTTTCATAGTATTGGAGACTAAGAATTCGAGATCAAGATCTGTTAGATGTCTGATGAGGGCTGGATCTCTGCCTCCAAGATACTGTTTGTTGCTGTATTTTCTGGAGGGGAGGAGTCCTGTGTCCCCCATGGTATAAAAGCAAAATATATAGATAGAGGAAATTAGATAGATAGAAAGCAAAGATAGGTGGGTGTTTAAAACTAACATCTATGACTAATCCATTTTCTTTTCACATGTGCTTTTGTGCTTCTTGTGTGTGTTGAGCATGCCAGGCGAGGAGGCTTGTGAACTGTCACTTGAGGCGCTGGATCGTCAGCATTCTCTGAACCAAGAGCACCGTCGTCATTCTGTAATACATGTTGAAAACATCTGTTAATGACTTCTTCCCTCTTTGTCTCCTTCAGGTACAGAGCCCTGGTATTTCTATTTAATTAATGGATTTCTGAATTTCAATGTGGCCTTTGCTTTGGCTCTTCTGGTCTTGCCACTGACTTCTCTCATGGAACACCTGCTGCAGAGATTTCATGGTGAGGGGCATGAGAGCAGGGCGGGCTTGAGGGGCAAAGAGCGAGTAACAAGATGTATGAATAAGGGGAAAAGAGTTCTATTTATTATAGTTCCCATTTGCTTTCTATGGAAGCTTATCTTTTTGAATTTTCAGTTCACATTTGTAGATTATTTGAACCTACATTAAGTTTGGTTATTTGTTTCAAAGTAAGCTAGCAAGAGGATCCTTCAAATGAGGAAATCAGTGTAGTTTTACACAGTCACCTGTGGAGGTAGAAGCATTTATGAGATCTCAAGATAACAAGCCTGTTTGAGTCTTCTGGCTTATAAAAATGTATTCACTTGGGTTTTTGTTTGTTTGTGGTTTTGGATTTTGAGACAGTCTTGCTATGTAGTTCAAACTGCCTTGAATTCCCTGTGTAGCCTAGGCTGGCCTCAAATTCGTAACAGTCTTCTGCTTCAGCCTCTGGAGTGCTGGGCTTACAGGTGTCCACCACCATGCCTAGCTAGAAATTTGAAAACTGATGCTGAAGTGCGAGGTATTTTGGATTTCCTAAGAAGCTGATGATGTTATGGGTTCCGTTTTGCTCCTGCGTTTGCCTTCCCATGTGAGGCTTGACGTGTCATTTATTTTGCTTGCTCCAATTCTGTGTTGTGCAGCTGGTGTTTTCTCGAGTTGTCATGGCTCTGGATATCTGGTGCCTGCAGTTTCTTTAATGGAGCAGAAGTGCATGTGGGCCTTGAAAGACTGAATTTCAGAGTTTTCAGTCGGATTGGGCTGCCACGGGACTGATTTCCTCCATCTTACCCCACTCTGCTTTTCTACTGTTTATGAAGTTTTCACTGTGTTGTAAGATTAGCCTTCAGGTCACTTCTGGGTTTGTTTTTTGGTACCAGGAATCAAACTGAGAACTTGCACTTGCCAGGCAGGCGCTGTGCCACTGAGCTGAAAGCCCCCGGCCACGTCCGTTTTGTTTTAAAATAACCATCTTGTCACTATTCCAGCAAAAGTAATGTAATTCTCTAATATCATCTAATACCCAGTTGATATTGAGACTTCCTAGATTATCTGAAGAATATCTTTTTATAATTAGTTTGTTTAAAGTAAGATGTTAACAAAGGTCACATACTCAATTTTGTGTAGGTTTCTTAAGCTTTTTGTGATTTCCCCATCTCACATTTTTCTCCTAAAGATTTTTTTTAAAAGTTTTTGAGACAAAGTCTTGCTGCATAGTCCAGGCTGGTTTTGAACTCAGTATGTAGCCCGGGCTGGCCTCAGACTCATCGTGATCTTTCTGCCTCGGCCTCCAGAACAGTGGGATTATAGGCATGTGCCACCACGCTGAGCTAAGATTATTTTAAAGATGCCAGGTCATTCATTTTGCATAGTATAGTTAGGTACAACTTGTGTGTTCTCTTACTTCTTTTGCATTTCTTAAGGATCAAGTCTACCTTTTGTTTTTCCTTTTTCCTTTTTATCGGTGCCAGGGATCGAACTCACGACTGCCTGCTTGCAAGGCAGGCACTTATGCCGTTGAGCTAAATCCCCAGCCCCAATTCTTCCTCCTTTTGAAAAGTAACTTTTTAATACTGGTCATGGTCGTGAATGCCTATGGTCCCAGCACTCAGAAGACTAAGGCCAGAGGATTTTTTGCTTAAGTCCAGCCTGGATTACCTAGCTAGAATCTGTATCATTAAAAAACAGCTTTATTTTGGACTGTAAAAATAATTATGCTTGTGGAAAATTTGGAAATGCTTATAATGTAAATTTATAAACAAAATATTAAACCATTTTATATGTTATGAATCTAATTTTGATTTAAAAATATTAGGTACATACATATCCACTTAGGTAATAAGATTAGTGCTTTCTGACTTGTATTTATATTTTTATGTATATTTTATAATAGAAACACTATTTTTAAAAAAACCAGAAGCATGGAAAAATATAAAGAACTGGGAAGGAAATTATTTGTGATTCTCTCACATACAACTGTGGTTTGTAGTTTTGTGTTTTTTGTAGACCATTTCAAAATTTTACATCATGTTAAAAATTGCTTGTTAGCCTTTAAGATACTAAAAAGGAGAAAGATTACTTACACCAAATAAATAGATTTGTTTTCTACAAGTAAAAAACTTCCAGTTGAATGTATACTACCCAGAAAGACATAAATCCTAAATTATAACCTACAATATCATGATGAAATCTTAGGAGTAGAATGTTTATAAAGTAAGCTTATTATTGCAGGTCAGTCAGTGTTGTCCTGGAAGAGTTCCGTAGATGAACGGATGACCCCGCTGCACGAGGCTGTGCTGCAGGGTCTGACGCTGCCTTCTTAGTCTGTAATCCGCACTTGTGTGCTGTGTGCACCCTGGACACCAGGGAGTGCTGTCTGCCTACCATTTGCCAGGGTTTGCCGTGTACAGCTCAGGGTCACGATACAAGCACAGCGGGCGGTGCCTTCACTGTGGGCTGCAGAGTGATCCTTCAGTGCCCATTGCCCGGCCAGGGGGACCGGCAGCAGGTGCCCAGGTCCTGGTAGTCATCACGGCCTTTTCATTCTTCCACATGCTTTAAGTACACTTTAGTGTTCTAATTTTGAGATTCAGAGTGATGGTATTACAGAAGAGAAAACTTAGTAAACTTTAAGAGTGTGGTTGTTTTGTTCATTTGTTGAGACAAGGTCTTGCTATGTGGTGTAGGCTGGCCTTGAATTCACCTGCTGGCCTCAAACTGTGGTCCTCCTGCCTCAGCCTCCCTAGTACTGGGATTACAGATGTGTCAACCGTCATTTGTGGCTTGTTAAGAAGAGTTTGAGAATCCAACTGTCTTTCTTTCTTTTGACCTGTGTCTATTTGAACAGACTAATTGGTATATAGATCAGAGGGTTAATGTGTCAGATGGAACACAGAATTAAAACCCAAAAACAGTTTTTTTTTTTTTTTTTTTTTTTTGGCGGTTCCGGGGATTGAATTTAGGACCTTGCACTTGCCAGAGACAGGCGTTTATGCCAGTGAGCTCAATCCCTGGCCCCCAAGAAATAGTTTTATATTGTTTTTAGTTAATCTCAGAAATCTTTAGTTTCAGTAGTAGGATTCATTAGAGGCAAGAAGACATTTTTCCCCTTTACCCAGCATAGAAATTAAGTTATGTATCCATTAATTTGACCTGCATGTGTGTTCTGTCAGTGATATGGCTCCCTTTAATTTGGGATCTTTTGGAAGAGCTAAGGAGTGTGTTCCTCATTCCACTTGATATCTTTACTACACTGGAGGAGGTTTGAGTACACAGTGGGAACATTTTATGGGATACTGTGGAGCACACTCCCAAATCTGAGATCAAGAGCACATTGAAACTAAATATGTTGTTTTGTTCTAGTGTGATGAAAAGTGGATATTTTTCTGTGTCTTGCAGTTCAGAATTTAGGCCACCCATATTGGCTTACCTTGGCTCCAATGTATGTTTGGTTTATAATTTTCTTCATCCAGCCTCACAAAGAAGAGAGATTTCTTTTCCCTGTATATCCACTGATATGTCTCTGTGGCGCTGTGGCTCTTTCTGCACTTCAGGTGAGTTTCAGGGAAGGGGATATTTGTCTCATTCTGTTCACTTACTAAATAAGAACTCAAAAATTTAAGGGCAAATTATAGCATGTGTCCCTCAGACATAGAAGGTTACCCCGATACAGAGCATAGTAGAAAGCATTATGCATTGATAAAACTGCTTACCCTAGTCTTCTTATTCCTCTTCCTCTTCTTCTTTTTTGGTAATTAGGAATTGAACTCACGACCTTGCGCAGTGCAAGGCAGGCACTATGCTGCTGAGCTATATCCCCAGCCCTTATCTTAGTCTTATTTGCTAACTACATGCTTGCATTATTAATTTGTGTGATAATCCAGTTGCTAATAAAGATACATTTTTAAGTCAGCATTTGGGCCACCTTGACGGTGGTACCTGGGTAAAGCTAACAGAGTCTCTGCTCTTCAGTTGCTATGAGAGGACACCTGGACAAGTCTGGGACCCCATTAGGCAGTTAGTAATATGGGACACTTTATAATCCTGGTTTAATAAGGTGATTCTCTTGTAGAACTACTTTTTCTTTTCTTTTTTTGGCGGGGGGGAGGACTGGGGATCGAACTCATGACCTCACGCTTGCCAGGCAGGCGCTTATGCCGCTGAGCTAAATCCCCTACGTGTACTTTTTTTAATTTTAAAGATAATAAAACCAAGCTAGTTTTACTTTTATTTGAGTATCTCTATATTTGTGGCCTCAGCAGCCTCGGGACTCTTTCTTACCTCTGCTGTTATTTGCAGTTGACAAAAAACAAGATTTGTTCTTATCAGATTTATTGAGCTACAGTTCATAAACCATGTAGTTCACCTATTTAAAGTGTGCAGTTCAGTGTTTTTAGCATATCCCTAGATAGTACACAAGTACTACCACAGTCAGTCGTGGAACATCATTTATTTCCTCAAATGCCTCGTCCTCTTTAGCTGCGGTCCCCCTGCCTTTCTTTCCTGTATCTCCCCAGCTCTGGGAAACAAGTTGTCCGTTTTCTCTCTGTAGATTCACTTACTCTGGGCATTTCCATCATAGAAATGTGGTCATAAACTAAGTGGTCTTTTGTGGTTGGATTCTTTTATTTAGCATGTTTTTAAGACTTATTTATGTTAGGATAAAAGTTTTAAAAGTATAACTAATTAAAGTAATTGAACTTCAGAACATAATTTAGAAAGTGAAAATTTTCATTTTCTTAACAAAAACATCTATGCCTGGAGAGATCCTGAATTTGGTTCTCGGTACCCAAATAAAAGCATCTGGTATTTTTACATACCATATCTCAGGGTTTATTATGGCTGTAATAAAAACATAAGCAGCTGGGTGTGGTGGTTCATGCCTGTAATCTGAGCACTCGGGAGGCTGAGGCAGGAGGATCATTGTGAGTTGGAGATTAGCTTGTGCCAGCCTGAACTGCATAGTGAGACCTTGTCTCAAAAAACCACATACACACACACACACACACACACACACACACACACACAAAACAACAACAAAAACCATAACCATGTTCTTTTAAACTTAGTATTGTGTTATATTGTGTTGCTGAATTATTTCAATTTCCATCATTTAAAAAGTTCATTTATGTGTGTTTATATTATAGTAATTGCCTAATTTGTAAAGTAGTTTAGCAGATAATTAATAGCATGTTTCTACTGTCTTTGAAAGGAATTCTTTTTTTGTTTGTCTTTGAGACATGCTTCGTACTCTAGGCTGGCCTTCTCAGTTGAGTGATCAGCCAAGTGCTGGGATTATAGGCATGTGCCACCATGCCCAACTTAGAAACTCTTTTTTTCTTGTTTGGTCATAACACATTTTGTTGAGACTAAAAATTGTTGAAAACTCGTTAGCAAGGAAGATAAATACATATGAAGATACTTTATATATCAAAGAAAACTATCAAAAAGCATTTTTGCTTAAATATTTAAAAAATAAGTTATTAGGCCTGCAAGCACTAGAAAAATATTCAGATAATTTTCTTGTGAAGCTTAGTGAAAGTGTACTCTTAGCAAGCTCTCTGGCTGGGCTGATCTTTAGATATTGTTAGGGGAAGTGGCTTTGATCTTAAAGTTTACAGCAGGTACTTCCCTAGGCATTTGCACTTGGTTAGACCGTCAGGTGTCCCTCTTTTTCTACTTCTGTGCTATTTTTTGGCTTTTGTAAAGGTAAGGTTTTACTATGCAGTTAGGTTGACCTTGAACTTCACTTTGTAGCCCAAACTGGCCTTGAACTCAAGCAATCCTCCTGCTGGGATTATAGGCATGTACCACTACAGCCAACCTGCTATTGGTATTTCGGTGATATCTTTTGATTGATATATTCTGCAAGGTCTCTTTTATCAGTACGGCTTTTCTTTCCTTCTAGAAATGCTACCATTTTGTGTTTCAACGATACCGCCTGGAGCACTACACTGTGACATCGAATTGGCTGGCACTAGGAACGGTCTTCCTGTTTGGGCTCTTATCATTCTCTCGCTCTGTGGCACTGTTCAGAGGTAAAAGTGTTGAGGAGGTTTTAACTCATGTTCACAGGGCACTTCACTTTAGGTTTTACTTGGTACAAGCTTGCCTAACAGATTTTATCATGTTAGAAGGAGGCCAGCCCTAAACGGACGTTGGGTACATTTAATTATGTTGCAGTGTGACTTCTACCTCAGGATCAGAAAGAGAGCTTGGGAGTTCCTTTTAGTGTGATTAACTATACATTTTTTCCTATCCTTATTTTTTCCCCTCTTTTTAAGCTGATGATGAATTAAGGAAATTTAAACTTGCTATGCAAATTGGGAGTTAAATTCTCATGCTTATATTTTTCTTGTAATTATTATTGGGATCTGGAATATAAGAATATGCTGAAAGAACATAACGTTAAAAAGAAGAAAGGATATAACAAGGGCAAGGAATCAAGTTATGTTTGACAGAATTGGGCCTCTGCTGCAGCTAACTTCCTAACCAGAGAGACATTTTATACCTGTAGAGCAGATACCCTGCTGGGGTTGCTATGGCCCTTTACACTCTAAATTTCATGTGGATTATAATGAGATGCTAACAGGGTTTTGTTTTGTTTTGTTTTGTTTTTGAGACAAGGTTTCGTATGTAGTGCAGGCTGGCCTTAAACTTGCTGATGTGGCCTAGGCTGGCCCAGCAAGCCTCCTGCCTCAGCCTCCAAAGTGCTTATAATGGGATATAAACATGCATTGTAATTAAATTCCAGAATCTCGTCTTGCACATCTCTGACTTCCATTGTTCTTTTCTTCCAGGATATCACGGACCCCTTGACTTGTATCCAGAATTTCACCGAATTGCTACAGACCCTGCTATCCACACTGTCCCAGAAGGCCGACCTGTGAATGTCTGTGTGGGAAAAGAGTGGTATCGATTCCCCAGCAGCTTCCTTCTGCCTGATAAGTGAGTTGTCCTTCAGTATCTAAGAGTTTTAAATCAAGAAGTTAAAATAGCACTTGTATGGCAGGATCTTCTTAATTTTTTGTTTTTAAGTTGTTACAGAAACTTGAGTTATTTACCGTCTTAGATTGCTATGGAATCTGCCTTGTGCACCCGTCTCCAGGGTTAATCCAATGGGTGCCAGGACTGGTGTACATCCTGTCCACCCCATGACAAGAGGGTGAAAATGCTTTGGGCCCTGGGTATCTGCTAATGATTATTCTTCAAAATTTATATTTATAGTTCTTTAATTATTTGATATTAATCTAAAGGTAGTCTACAGACTTTAGCTTGAAAGAGTTTTTTAGAAAAAGAATTTTGGTGAGGGGACCAGAGTCTTGTTAGATTGCTCACTCTGTCCTTGAGATCTTCCTGTCTCAGCTTCCTTAACAGGTGGGATTATAGGTGTGTGCCATCATACTCTGTTTAAAGAAAATTCTCTGCCAGCATATGGCAGTGGGAAAAGTTAGTTTTAAGATATCTATCCTGAGCCGGGCACGGTGGCTTACGCCTGTAATCCCAGCACTCGGGAGGATGAGGTGAGAGGATTGTGAGTTCGAGATCAGTCTGGGCTACAAAGTGAGTGCAAGGCCAGCCTGAACTGCATAGCAAGACCCATCTCAAAAAAAAAAAAAAAAAAAAAAAAAAAGACAAAAAGAAAAAAAAGACATCTGTCCAGCTTTGCTTACACTGTCAGTTGTTAAACTTGACAGCGAGTGCCCAGAGCCCCGTACAGTTTTCTTAATTTGGTCTTCTTTGGGTAAAAGAGGTCTGGTTAAGATGGCTCATGTTACTCCATTTGAGGAAGGGCATTTGTGCTGAGCTTTACCTGGTAGTAGTATGTTGTGCTTAATAAAAATCCTGCATCGATAATTAATAATGAAATTAAAGCTTATTTTTTAAGAGTTGACTTTGACCTTTCCCCTTTACATTTGAAATAGTTTCATAGCTGAAAATACTTTGAGATTATTCAGAAGCAAAGTACTGCTTTTGTAGTATGTTCTCAGTGCCATAAATTACATTTCATCTTGCTCAGCACACCTGATGCATTTGCTTTAATTTTGCTAAGTTCCTTTGATCACATGGTGATTGGTAATGAGCCTTGACTCTTCCCTGGTTGTTTTTTGGGATGACTATTTGATTGCAAGTTTTACTGCTGGGACTTAGTGAAATAGGTTGAGAGATCACTAGTCATAAATTTCTTTTGCTTTTGGATGAAACTTTGACCTCTGCCTCTGTACTCCCTGATTGAGGTTTTAGCAAAAATGTTTTTTTTACTTCAAGTGAAATGTTTTTCACATGATTTTTTTTTTTTTTTTGGTTGGTTGGTTTCAAGTACATTTAGCAATATGATTCCCTTGTGTTCTTCTTCTTCTCTTGTTTGTAATTCTGACAGTTGGCAGCTTCAGTTCATTCCGTCAGAGTTCAGAGGTCAGCTACCAAAACCTTTTGCAGAGGGACCACTGGCTACCAGGATCGTTCCTACTGACATGAATGACCAGAACCTAGAAGAGCCGTCCAGATATGTAAGGGCTACATTTTATTTTTGCTTTTTTGAAAAGAATTCTCCCCCTAAAATCTCTTATCGTATATATTGGAACACTGATGAGATTTTCTTTCTTGGTACTGGCGATTGAACTTAGAGCCTTCACATTGAGCTACATCTCTGTCCTTTATTATTTTATTTTTTACATTACTGGGGGTTGAACCCAGAGCTTTTGCACTCAGTACAGATCTGAATGCTTTCTTAATTTTTTGAGACAGAGTTTTGCTAAGTTGTCCAGGCTGAACTTGCACTTGCGTCCTCCAAAGTGCTGAGATTATAGGAGTGAGCCCCCATACCCAGTTTCAAATGAAAAAAAATTTTTAAAAATTCTAGAGTGAGGATGGGGCTGGGGATTTAGCTCAGCGGTATAAACGCCTGCCTTGCAAGTGTGTGGTTGTGAGTTTGATCCCCGGTACCGATAAAAAAAAGAAGAAAGACAAAAAAAAAATTAGAGTAAGGAATGTAATAACTTTGTTGAGAAAGGGTAAACAGTATCACTTTTCTTTTCAAATCACCTTTATTTTCTGCATGAAATATATAACTTGTAAACATTTGGATGAGCTAGAAATTTTCCTATGATAGAATCGGAACCATGGTTGTGAAACCCATTTTGAACTCTTACTATTCCTTTTGCTATTAAAGTATTGGTGGGGCGCTTTCAAGCTGTCAGGTTCCCCGCCTGGCTGTTCCGGGTCCATGTGCACGTGAGTAGTCAGGAAGCTGTTCCCACAGCCAGGGCCTGGAGTAATCTCGGTCGGTGCCATGGTCTTTTCCCTACTTGTCCACACATGCAGATCCCTTGTGAGTTTTATTTCAATTCCTTTGAAAGTTGACACTTTGGACATTTGATACCTATAAAATCTTGGACAGTGAAAAAGCCAAGACCAATAAAGGTAATTCTTTTCCTGATTTACAGAAACAGTAAGAATCGTTTTGTAAAATAAGTGAAGAGCTCATTTTTTGGACAACTCATCTGTTAAAGAAATGTTTAAAAGTTTAAATGTCAAATGTAACTTAGCTTCTGTTATGTCATACACTTAACATGTAAAATAGTGAAGCTCGTAGTTTTCTTCTGAAATAACCGGCAGCCACATCTAGCTTTTTGTCTTCCAGATTTGGGCTGGACAGACTTGTATGGGCTTGTATGGGCTTGTATGGGCTTGTGAGTGGGAGCTGTATTTTGTATTCTTTAGCCATAGACTATGTACGTGGTAAAATACATGCTTGGCTTGGCTCCCTAAGAAAGTAGGATAAATGTGCCACCATTCTTTTAAAGGAAAGTCTGCATTCCTCCTAAAAATGCCCCTTGGCAGGAATAAATGTTATTGGTCATTTAAATTTTATCTATAGTCACTCTCCTGAGAGCAGTCCTTGATTATAGGGAATGTGTGTGGGAACACTGGACAGTCAGAAGGGTGAGTGGATAGGCCGTGAGAACTGGGCAGTCTGGGTTCAGAGGTGATGTTATCAGGAACTGAGCTTTAGGAAGAAGCAGCATTGGGAGGGTGAAAAAGAGAGGAAGGAGTGTGTTGGAGTCCTGGTTCCAACTCCAGCCAGGTTGCTTCCCTTGATGACTTGGACAAATTAGTTAAGTTCTCTTTTTAACTAGTTTCTGTTTCTCTCTGTGAAACACAACAGTGGTACCTACTTTGGAATTGCTATGGTATGTAATATTACTGTATATATTTCTCATATTTGGCATATTTTGAATCTGGTATGTATATTTTCACAGTGAATGTTTTAATCTGTTAAGGAATCCTTTATGCCCAAATCTTTCTCCTTCCATACTATAATTGTTCATCACTGCCTTTTCTGCCCATTGTTTTTGCTTACATTGGTGTCCATGCCTGGACTGCTCAAGAGCCTACTATGTAATACGTGCCTGGACTACTCAAGAGCCTACTATGTAATACGTATTGAGCAGTCCTTTCTTTAAGTGCCTTTAAACACACACACACACACACACACACACATACACACACACACACAGAGCCATTTAGCTTTGTTATCTTACTTACCAAGCTTTGATTTGCATGTTGTGTGTGAATGGTTACACCTTTTTCTTTCTTCTACATTCACCACAGTATTTATGATGCTGCTTATCGTTGGTAATTAACCTTTAGGGCAGACTTCCTTTATCTGCAAAAACTCCAATAGCTTCCTAAGACTGTGGGTGGTTCCAAACTCTACATATATTGTACTACTTTTTTCCTGTACACATATGCCTATGATAATTCATAAATTAGGCACAGAATAGATTAATAATAGCTAATAATAAATAGTTATAACAGTATACTATAGTAAAAATCATGTGAATGTAGTCTGTTGAAAAATAACTTATTGTTAACAGCCTCAGCATATGATTTATTTTTTCTTCCTTAATAAGTTGGAAAATTTTACCTTTTCACCTAAATACCTTGTAACTTCTCTTTGACAACGTCATTACTCCTATGCTTTGAGAGTCATTTTTAAATAATATAAGAGTTATTTGAACATGCATACTGCTGTGCCCTGGTAGTGGATTGAATAACTTAGGCAGCTATTAAGTGCCTAATAGAAACAGTAACGGACATAACAGTGTAGGTAGCATAACAGTGTAGATACACTTGATGAAAAGATGATTCAGGTTCAGAATATGATAGCACGTGATACCATCATGCTATTCAGAATGGTGTGCAATCGAAAAGCTATGAGTTGTTTATTTCTTGAGTTTTCCAATTGTATTTGACTGATTGTACCTGGGCTTTTCAATTAATATTCATCATTATTGAGTGATCATGTTGAGAAGAAGCTGCTAGAAAATCTGCAGTGGCCTCTGCTTTGGTCACTGGTTGTCTCATGTGAGCCATAGTTTCATATTCCCTGCTACCAAACATTAAGTTTGTTAAGTGACTGTATTTTTCAGAATCTCAGTAGGAGTCACCAAAACGCTGGCTGATAGAAACTGGGACAAGAAAGTTTATGTGTCTACGGGATGTGTGGCATTTGTCCACCTCTGTCATGGTTGAGAGTTTTATTGTAGAGTTCTCTTTGTGTTCTGATTGTAGTGGATTGTCCCGTGTGGTGGGGAAAGTGCCCTTCAAATCCAATCTGCTCACCTTTGACCCTTCGGAAAGCAGCAGGAACATTTGATGGCTTCCTGTAACATCTCCATGGCTTACTATTATCGGGGGTGCATCTCTTTCAGTTAACTGTTTAAAAAGATACTGGATTTTTTTGATAATAAAAATGTTATATGTAAAATAAAACTGTGGGCAAGAAAAAAATAACTGTCATCTCATTACCTAAGTTACCACTATTACCATTTCAGTGGGTTTTTTTTTTTTTTAGTGACAGGGTTTCACTGTGCATTTCAGGCTGGTCTCAAACTCATGAAAGTCCTCCTGCCTCAGCCTGCTAAGTACTGTAATTACAGGTGTGCACTGCCATACCTGGCTCAGTGGCTTTTTGCTTCATTGTTCTTTCTTCGTGTACGTGTATGTGCATATGTACACACCTAAACAAAATTAAGTTACTTTAATATTTAATGTGTTTAATTCTTAAGTAATGGTGTTGGAGTTATGGCTGCAGTGTGCAAATATCCTTGCCTGATATATAGGAGAGCACGCTACATTTTTTACTTTTGGTATTACCCCTGGTTGTAAGTCTAGGCTCACTCAAGATGGCCCAGCAATTGTGTTGTCTGTCTTTTCTGAACGTGCTAACTAGCAGCATTATTTTTATTTGCCCTGTGGCTTTTTATTTGGCTCTTAGTTTTGTCTTGGTGTCAGGAATCGAATGCACAACCTCACGCTGGCCACTGCGCTAAATCCCAGCCCCTTTAACTCTTAAGTTTTTTAAGAGTTAGGAGTCAGTGTTCATAAAGACCCTGTGGTTTCTGTCACACTGATGTAACTGTATTGCAGAAATAATATTTTCTATTGCACGTTCTTCTGTAGTAGAAATTGAATAACTGTAAAGCACCTCCTTATTGAATAGTGGGCATTTACAGTAGTTCATGCCAGGTTTTTCTGCTGGAATCAAGCTCTACAATAATTTAATTTACTTTATTAGTTTTGTGTTTTGTGGTGCTGGAAGTTGAACTCAGGTCCTCACGCATGCTAGACAAGCCCTCTCCCGCTGAGCAAGGCCTGAATTTAGAAGGTACATTCAGTGTTTCCTTTTAGTTCTTGGCGGATTTGCATTTTTCACTCTCGCAAGGTGAGTGATATCCTTCTGGTGCAAAGGTTGGTGTATAAGTTGGGAGCTACTAAGCCTTTGGAGAAAATGACTCTTCAGGAGGCGCTTACAGGGCAAAATTTTCTTTGACTGATTTGAGTCACATAGACTTTCTTAAAAAACATGGATTGGTCATTGGTTAATTTTTTTCCAAACAGTAGAATAGTTATACTCTAACATGTTATAAAATAGCTAAATATTTTGTGCAGTAAAAAAACTGATGGGAAAAATGGAAATAAGGACACAGTACTTTCCCAGATTTGGGTTAAAAAAGATAGGAACCTATGCTAGGCATGATGGTGCACGCCTGTAATCCTAGCACTCGGGAGGCTGAGGCAAGAGGATCACGGCAAGCTCAAGGCCAGCCTGGACTGCATAGCGAGACCCTGCCTCAAACAAGCACATCCATACCCCGCCACACACACACACACACACACACACACACACAGACACACACACACACAGGTAGGAACCTAATACAAAGGTAGCACAGTTTTACATATTACATGGCTAAAAGTACATGAATACTATAGTATTAGTTTCCTTTGGAAGAAACCTGAAGTTTGTTTTGTGGGAAGGTGTTAAAGGGCTGCATTGTGTGAAATAGTGAGAAGATTATCTTTAATCTGACAGTCTAATACCAAGGTGAGTGGGTGAGTACAGCTCCTAACATGGTTAACTGAGGTTTTATGGACTTTGTTTATTCCCATACGAATTGATTGTCCTGGGTGTAGTGTTCTCATGCACCTGGCATTTCTTGTG